TGTGTGTGTGTGTGTGTGTGTGTGTGTGTGTGTGTACCGTAAGTAAGTGTAAAAAGCGTTCAACAATGTTCAAATATCTCCTCTCCTCTCTCGTAGTTATATTGAAACAATACGATTTTTATTTAATAACATTTCTTTCGTACGACGATTATTACAAAAAGGTTTTTTGAAAAACCGTGACGACTGATAAAGTCTCACTCTGTACACACAATTAATATTGTCCCACAAACGTTAATGCATAGTGTTTTTTTTTCTCTATCTCTCTCTCTCTCTTTCACACACACACTCACTCTTTCTATCGCTCTCTTCCCGTAGAAGTGTCACGGTATAATGGCTACGCGAGTGTTTCGGGCCCGTGTCCTTATTCTCTCGCCTCCGGCCATTATACAATAATATATATATAATAATTTCACTAAGAAAAAAAAAACAAAGAGGACACCATATCGTCGATAACGTGGCGATATATACTTGAAATAAGAACGATTTACTTTATTCTAAATAACGTAACTCGATATACAATGTGCTTCTCTTTTTTTAAAGACACGTTTTCATTATTCGTTTAAATTGTCGCTAACGGTTTTCACACGCAATGTTCGAAAAAAAGAGGGGTGGGGGGGAGGCGAATGATCGATATACATATATATATATATATATAACGTTTCATATTTTCGGCGCGGTGTTTTTCGTCTCTCTCACTCTCTCTTTCTCTCCTTTAACACTCTCTCCATCTCGCTCTCCCTCCATTTTCGAGACCCACAGTGACGACTGTCTTATATGATTCACACCCGTTTCAAACAAAGAAAGCAATTTCTCTTTGTTCATTTAACGAAAAAGAAAATAATAATAAAACGGAAAAAAAATATAGTACATCACCAACCACAAAGCAGTTTTTTTTCGTTGCACGCTTCACACGAGACCTTTCTAACCTCCACCCCGCCCCCACCCCTCAACCTCCCCCTTACGGTTCTTTCTCAACGGAAAACGGCTCGTGAAGAAAAACTCAAACACCTAACCGCGGCAGCAACTGCACACACACACTCCCTCTCTCTTTTTCTCTCTACGGAGCCCCTACTTAAAAAGAGTTTTCGGACACGCTGGGCGAAAACTGAAATTGTGTGTGTATGTATGTACGTGTATATGTGTATATTGCAACACGGGAAGAAAATGGTTAAAACAAAAAACAGAGACGGAGAAATGCGTTAAATTTATCCCGAGGAAAATGAATGAAATATATATATATATATATATAAATTTATACATATATACTCTCTCTCTCGCTCTCTCAACAATGGAGGGCCGATATAGTCGCCCCTTCTCTCTCGTCGAGGGGCCTCTCATTCGGATTCAACTTTTTTTTTTCTCGGGCTGGCCTTTTTCAAAGACGTTTCTCATCGTATCCTTCTCTCTCTCACGTTCTCTCTCTCTCTTTCTCTCTCTGCACGTGGTGTGGCACAAGCGTACACTAGAGCACCAATTATATTTATTCCCTCTCTTAGTGTGTGTGTATGTACAGGGTGGCCCAAAAGTCACTAGTTCATTTAAAAATAGAATAGCTCTTTTATGTATTAAAAATTCACATTTATGCTTTTATAAACGATAAATATATTTCTTGGAAATTATTTTTAATTAGTTTTCTAGATTATGTCCTTCAAATGGCCACAATTTTGTTCTTGACAATGGCGGGCTCATTTCTAAAAAGTTATTATATTTTAAAATTGTCTAATAACTTTTGGGCCACCCTTACGTGTGTGTGTGTGTGTGTGTGTGTGTGTGTGTGTGTGTACACTTTCCTAACGCACGAGTTTTACACGCAAGGGAAGAAAAAATGAAGAAACTCGAGATATTATAATAAAAACAAAAAAGAACCAACAAAAACAACGGTTTTTCCACATTCAGTTTCGAATATTGAGTCTGTGTCCATCTACTACACCCTGAGACCGTATACCAGGGAATCAGAGAACTAAAAACAGGTTCACACACCATTTCTTGCGTAAGCTTTTTCTCATTTTCTTTGTTTTTTTTCAGCGGAGATTCGTAAAGAGCACGGCGTAAATAATGATTTGCAAATATAGTTTGAAACATATTTTTTAATGAGGAATAATGCTGGTTATATTCACGTGAAATTGGACATAAACACACAGTACTACTTATACTTCATTGCATTATTTATGAATCAATAGACTAATATACTTAATAATTATTAGACTAATTCGTTAACCTAGGATTGTGATCACCCATCAACGTCAGCCACTACCTAAGCAACATTCCCGTTATTATTATTTTTTTTTCTTTCGTAAGTTTTGATATTTGACGAACGAAACAGAAATATTCGTATTATATATATATATAAAATTTCTTCTGCCTTTTACGCGCAATTCGACAAAAAACCGCAAACTCTCGACGAGACGTCTCGGTTGTACTTTCTTAACCGCGCACCGAGAATTCGTGAGTTTCGTTTAGTTTAATAAAAAAAAAAAAAAAAAAAAAAAAAAAGCTCTCTCTCTCCCTCTCTCACACTCTCGCTCTCGTATGCGAATTTTGCGTTTAAGTAAATTAATAAACATAATATAGAATAATAATAAACCGTAATAATCGTAGATAATAATAGGTAATAATAGTGTAGTAAGCTGGCAGCAGTTAGAACCAAATATATTCTCGATTAAAACTCTCGTTAAGATGACAATCTGACATGGCACTGGCATCCAATTTCATTTTCTTTTTTATTTTCTCGAAGAAGCACTCTCGCTACACGCACTCTAATTTTCATTTGTCCTATATTATATAACTTATTTTACGTTCTCTCTCGTAAATCCGTTTCTCCGAAAATCTCTCTCTCTCTCTCTCTCTCTCTCTCTCTCTCTCTCTCTCTCTCTCTCTCTCTCTCTATCTCTCTCTCTCTCTCTCTCGTTTCTTTACTAAATTCGCGTGTATATACCGTGTGTTACAAACCAATTATTTTTCTTTTCATTCTCTCTGTGCTCACGAAAAAGGTTTCTCGCTCTTTTTCAAATCTCACACTCTCTTTCATCCTTGCTCTTTCGCGCGCGCACACACACGCGTAGTAGACACACACAAACACACATATATTTCCGCGTCACTATCATTCTCTGTCTCCCTTTCGTACATGAAACTCGCATTCACCCGCTTCGCCCCTCGACGTGCAATCAGCTGCCAGATAATTTATCTCGTTTTCTCCGTTTTATATTCTGTTTGTTTATATAGTTATATAACCATTTTCCCAACGACTACGCACTAAATAGTTCAAATTTTTTGCACTTTTTCACCAACAACAACCGGATTGTTGCGCCGAATCTCTTGAGCGCCCATTTCTCTGTAATCGAACTTGCAGTCGTGCTTGTCACTGTATCGATGCACAGAGCAGAACAGTCCTCCACAACGGCACTCGAATCCTGGAAATGATCGGATGCATTGCACATGTGAAGCGATCGACGTCACCGAACGCATATTTTCAAGAGCACAGGTGGGGGGGGCGGGGGGGAAAGGATGAGTGTCCAATGGTATTCTGAGTGAAACGAAAGTCCATTGAAATTTGCTAAATACACATTGGTCCACGATTGACAGGGCACAACTACTAAAGGAACTTCACTTTTTCTCATTTAGAAATACAACAATGTGAGTTCTACAGTGGAAAATAATATCCTATATTGTATTTTCAAGTATCATGACAAAGTATTTTTAACCTCACTCTTTTTCCCCCTTGTGTTCTCTTCATTTTAAAATTATGGATTTACCTACCGGTCAGACCGACTTTTTTGCGACATACTGCGCAACGATTTTTCTTCTTCTTGGATTCTTTGTCAGTCTCTTTGCCGTCAAAGCAGTCATCCGCGTCCCCGCTACTCACTGAACCTTCTGCTACTGCTCCACTGCTTATGCCTGCTTCACTTTCCTGATCTTCCCTATTTATCTGATGGAAATAAATTCGACCATTAATAACTGAACTTGCCGCGACACAAAGAGATACTTTTCAATGAAAATCCCATCATTCTGTTTTGAATACAGTTTACAGGTTCCATCTAGTGGTACGAGACACAACTGTGAAAGTATCTTTATCTGTAATTACATATCTGCTTGTACAGGCTGACTGTACAATAAAATTTTTAAAGTTATACTTTGTATTTCCCATATGTCAAGAAAACTGAACAGATAATAATGCCAATAGACATACAAATCATTAAAATTGAAGCGTTTTTAAGGTAAAGATACCATTTATTTACCATACCAAATGTACAGTATATGATTACCAAATAAAACTGTACATTTTTTTCATATACAAGCCGAATGGAAACGTGTTCCTCTCTGATATTATTTTCAAAGTAACAGAAACATTGAAACAGATACTTACTTCTTTGGGGTTTGGCAGATCTGTCGTTGGTTGAGGTATAGTAGGAATGGTAGGTTGGGCCGTAGTTCCCGTAGCTGCAGGACTACCAAAACCGCCTTGCAACGTGCCAGCGTTACCAGAGACGGTCTGTGATGTTGTTACAGTGGCAGCTGACACAGGAGGTTGCTGCTTCTTTTTCAAATTTTCTTTATAACAAAGGGAACAAAGGCCATCCGTGGCTGGAGAGCCATAAAATCCGCAGCCGCTGCGGCACAGAGCTTGCATCGGATTAGACTCTCGTTCCATATTTTCTTCCGTTTAATCCCAGTAGAACTTCTAAGATTAAGCGAGTCCTCGTCCTCTTCTTTGCTTGCAATCACTCGAGAAGGACCGAGCAGTTGCAGTCAGCTAAACGAGGAGTAAGTAAGCTTCTCTTGCCACAGCTTGCTCTCTGGTTGCCTCCTTACGACCGTGTGTCACCATATACTCACCTATTTAAAAGAAACTTCCGTTAATATTCCACAGGAAAAAAAATGTTTACCTACAGACGCATTAACTCTAGCCACGATATCTGTTATGAATGAGATGAGTAAGGAGAAGAAGCATCATTGACAGCTTTGGCAGTCATGTAGAAACAATAGCACAACAGGTAAAAAGATTCTTGTATTATCCCAAATCCACAGTCCAATCAGCTGTGTCCTTCTTCCCCTACATACACATTAAAAAATATACCGTATAGTTGTATCGATATATAACTTATGTACCGCAAAGTAATCTTGTCGAAAACTATAATTCACAATTGAAAACATTACTATAGGCACCATTGTGTCATAGGGTATAGGCACGGCTGATCTCATCTCTGAATATCATACATTTAAACCACAACAGAAATAAAGAAACGGTTAGACAAGTTAAGTGAAAGTTTAAAAGTCTAATTGCCCTATACTCGAATGAAATGCAAATAAACACACAATCACTGACTCTAACTAACTGGCAACAGGACGAAACCTATATTATCCCTCCGCTAAGAATCATTGTGAGACAGTACTTGTGCTTTGTCAATTTATAAACCGGCATCGAATCAATGTAACCCCATTTGAATACCCATTAACGAAAGAACCACAACATAATCCAGAATTGTCAGAGAGCACAGAAGAACACAATGAACCATGGAACAAAGCTTTTGTTGCTCTGATAGGTTGCTCCGCAATCCGGGGCACCTGTGTATAAACGTATCTTTAGAAGATGTGGTTGCTCACGTTTGTTTTATTTTTTGTTTGGAGCACACAAGTTGTCACTTAGCCGTTCGAAACACGTAAAAGTTAATCCCTTGACCGTCGATTATTAACACCAGGATACCACATAGAGAGCGCATTAAACTCGAGGGACACAGCTACAACGTTTAGCTGTCCAAGAAACAACGACGATGACGACGGGATAAATGCTACACGAGAATTACATATCGAATTTTCACTGGTGAACACACACGCGATAGAACAGTCAAATACACCGAATTAGAGATCGTCAGCGGCGGAACAACGATATCGTCGAGAGGGCCGTTCCCCTCGTGCGCGCTGGTCGGGAAGAGTGGTGTTCGAGGAGTCCCTCTTCCAAGGGCAAATAAAACTAGGGAATCGGGAACGAGGAAAAAAACAGTGGATGGGGGTAACCAAAAGAAAAAAAAGGAGTGGGGGGGGAGACGGAGCCACAGAGAAACGAAACTCGACAGACGGGGTTGGGGAGGGGAGGGGGAGGTTCGGGGCGATTTTCAGCTCGCGCGACAAAACGACGTCACGACGACCGATCACCGATTTTCTCCATTCCAACGCAATAAAAACCGAATGGAAGAGGCGTGATCGGGAAACGTGATATTACTCACTTTCCAACACGCAGTCGTGTCGCAACCAACGCACAACATGGAGTAAGAATTGGTTCGAGGCATTTAAGTGGGTTCCCCGTGCGTATCCTTATCGCGACGTTAGACGAGGACGTGCCATCGATAGCCAACAGACGTCGCTCGGTGGAGCTCTCTTTCTCTCTCTCTCGCCTTCCGAAGCTGTGTGGTTTTGTTCGGTAAATCTCAGAGCGCAATTCGCTGGCCCCAACTGTGTGTGAATGCGCGCGTTCGCTTTGTCTCCCGATGCTCGTCGCAGCAAGCTAAAACGAAACGTTACCAAATAGCTCTCCCTTTCTCTGTTTCACTCTCTCGTGCACTCGCGCTCCGTTCTCTCTCTCTCTCTCTCTCTCTCTCTCTCTCTCTCTCTCTCTCTCTCTCTCTCTAGTTCTGTCACGCTTGCTCACACTCTCGATCTGTCTCTGTCTCTCTCACTCTTTCTTTGTGTGTATGTGCAACTTCGCGCTCGAGCGCTCGATATTACTTCAATCCGAGGAACCTGCAAGGACGGAGGAGAAACAACGATAACGTCGACGACGACGACGACGGCGACGGCGACGACGATGACGACGACGGCCGAATGTTTTCATGATGGCGAGACTCTCGTATGAGAACGTGCACACGGAGCCTTCGGGCGGACGCACAACCGACTACTGCAACATACCGCGAGTGGGAGGTTAGGTCACACAGGCTCGGTGAAATATATACACGCATCTTTGTAATTTAAATGCTCGGTACTGTGACGGAAAATTCAAGTAGCGCGCGCACTCCGCGGGTTTCACGATGCTTTTATGAAATGTAAGAATCGACGGGAAAGAAAAACTAATGGAAACTTGGTATAAGGTTTCATGGTTCGATGAAGTTTTTCTTTTTAGTGAAATAAATTCATATAGCGTATCGGAGATTTAATTCGTGATTTCGAATGAGATCGTCCACTTATTATTCGCGAGAGTAAATTTAGAAGTTTTCTATTTGCAGTGGAACCAACCTGTATGTCACGAACGTGCCACCAGATGGCGCGGCGAGCGTTACCCACGATGTAACACAATAAAACCGAAACTACATACCGTTTGATGTATGCCGACCGACCGAAATGAAAGGATACACAGGAGGAAAAGGCTCTACTTTCTTTGTTGTGTGTGTTTAGACGTTCCTTTTCGCTTTTTATCCGATACCAACGCGCGCCAAAGAAATTCGCGTGTCTCTCCCCCTCTCCTCCCCACAAGTTATCGTTTCTAACAAGTCTTAACGCGTGTTTTCACTTTCACCGTCCAAGAACTTTACCCTGAAATTATTGAACAATAAGCGGAGATCTTTTATCGCGGATGCCATTAGGGATAGTTTCCAACTAACGAGAAATTAATAGACTGGCGAAATGTTCATGCGTGTATGATACATAGAAACGTGTGATAATCAATAAAATGAAAACTGTAACAAGAAACAGTAAGATATTTATACTTTATTCTCAATGTGGCGTATCTCTCATACAGTGAAAGAAAATTATTTTTTTAAAACTTCATGAAAACGAGGATTCGCATAATACGTCTGGAATCTAGTAATTAATTACGTTCTCCATAGCGCGTTCGTGATTCGGTGAAATCCCGCGGCCAGTGAAAGGGCCAAAGAATGAAATGAACGGGAATTTAAATCTGTTAGCTCTGTTCCGACCCGCGTGACGTCGCGCGCCAATAATCGAGAATCAAATCAAATTCTCTTGAGCTGCGGGGCGGGGGGGGGGGATCATCCGGTCGTTGATTCATTTTGGTTTCCCGTTGCGCACATCATCGAGATATCGATATTTTTGTCGAATGTACTTTCCTTTTTCAATCGATTATCGTGGGGGATCGTTAAACTTACCGACAGACGATAACGACATTCCAATGACGCGCACGTTATGTCAATGACACATTAACCCTCAAATGCCGCGGGTCTATTTTGACCCCATTCATAAATAACTAATTTTTAATTTATCAGACATTGAATGTTTATATTTTTAATAATATTAATAATAATTTTTATTTTCTGAGACACTGAACAAAAAAACCATGTTAATTTGGTAATTGGGAAAAAAAATGGCGAGATCTAATAAAGAACCACTTTTTTTTCTGTCACGGTGCGACGAACAGACGGATAGGTACAAAGAAGATGAGTGAAATTAACTCGCCATTGACTTACAATTACGAATGCTCTTGAGCTCTAATATTAGTCGTCTGTTGAATTGCAATCGTGCAATAAACATCTAATCGATAGCCAGCCATGTATCAAAATTAACAGTGCCGACCACGTGACGTAAGAATTGTTCGTCGTTAATATACATAATATAAATGAGTCGTGTTCTTAATTGCGTAACGATATTTCAAGATTACAGGAACTGCAAGAATTCTGAACATAAATTTGAATTTCGAAGCTCTGTACAGTAAAAAAAATTAAACAAATTGGCATTTGGAACCTCATATAAAAGCCCCAATGAAATGACGTAATTTCAACTTTCGTCATAGTGACCATTTTCAACGTTACAATTTCCAAAACTAAAATAATAAATTCAAATTTCTAGATTTAATCAGAATATACCCACACACAACACGTGATCGACGAGAAGTGCGATCGATCCAAGTCATCAAAGTATCCAGGCGAGAGAGAGAGCCAGGGTTATCAACTGTTAAACATTATTCACGATTAAGCTAGATACGCACGCGTGACCCAAAAAAATTTTCATTTCCGTAAGCAATACGATAAAAAAAATATCTGACAAACGTGTTTTCGAATGTTCTCGAGTCACCTAATCTCTCTGTTCGTTCCGTGTCGCTGTCACTCTCGAATCTCGCAGTCACGTGGCACGCACGACATTCAAAAATTCAATCCCGCCAATTATCCCGCTCGAAAATACACACTTCTGAACGACCAAGAGGACTTCGACGCGTAATTGTCCGTGACAGACTAAAGAAACTCTATGGATTGCTATTTATAACCAAACCGTGAATGTGTAAAGTGCTGTTCTCAATGAAACGAGAATACTGTCGAAATAATAATTCATCGTCGATACATGTGACTTGCAACTAGGGATGTTCGATTCTCTTCAAAGAATCGATTTGCAAAACGATTCTGAATCGAATCATGGAGAATCGATTCCCTTAAAAATCTAATACAAAGAATCGATTTTTTAAAAATCGATTAAAAAATCATGATAAATTACATATTAGATTAATTCTTAATAGCATCATTATATTCAATTGCTTTGCATTCATGGATCTGATATAAGAAGGATATGTATACATATACGTATGATTAAATATGATCAAGTAAAACATTTTAGGAACATTTGATTGTAAAAATAAAGTATTTATTTCCTATTGAATTGCATATGAACACCAACGATCTCGAAGCTAAAACGAAAATTGATCATAAATATGGTGTACTATTCAGAAATTTATAAAAAAATTTTGGAAAACTTACTAGTTTTTGTTATAGAGTCTCCACCTTCGTTCGCCTGTGGCTATGCCCACAATCGCTTCTCGATTCTCGCAAATATTGAATAGCAGAGAATCGATTCAAAAAATTGATGTTCAAGTAAAAGAATCGAATCGGAATCGAACATCCCTACTTTCAACAATGGGCAGCATCATCGTGCGCAGATGGACGTCGCTCGATTAAAAGTAAGAGGTTAAGTGACACTCCCCCCCCCCACTCCCCGACGAGGTCTACGGATATTCCCTAACGGAAAGTAACTAGAACTGGTTCAATCAGCATCGCCGTAGACAACGGGGCAACAGTGGAGTTTATAGCGCGTTCTAACCTTACTGAAAACGAAAACGTCGCGTATATTCCATCCCCTCCCGCCACCCCACACACGCGATTCTTGCCCGCGATCGTTTACGTTTGACTCATTCCGCGTGTGGACAACAATGACGTGCGCGCACTTTCCGTTTGGTTGCGGCGCGCGAGAAGCTTTTGTTTGGAATCAGGGAAACGTGTGTGGTTGTGACCTTTTTTTTTTCAACAAAGTCGAACCTCGGGAACAATGAGACTTCCTGGGCGGCGACCGAAAGACAGTTTAAAACCGTTTCAGTGTATCCATATATTCGTAGAATTTGCAAATCAATGAGTGACATGGTCCAAATACATACAAATGGTACACAGTGGGCAACAGGAATATTTTTATAACCTTAGAATTGAAGTTACATTTAAACTGATAATTTTTTAGATATAAGTATTTTAATATTCTTTTGTAGACTGTGAATTTTATATATAGATTACATAGCAATGTGGGGAACAAGAATATTTTTATAACCTTAAAATCGAAGTAATTTTTAAACTGATAATTTTGAGACAGGTGTATTGTAATATGCTTTTGTAGACGATGAATTCTATCGAGTATAGAGCAATGTTGGCACTAAAAACATTTTTATAACCTTAAAATCGAAGTAAGATTGATACTAATTAATTTCAAGAAACATACTATTTAATATCTCCTTGTAGATAGTAAATTGCCTCAATCACCTATTTTGTTGCTCACTGTATAAAAGAAAAATCGTCTACTGATTGATTTTGTTTACCTCGTTGGCTCAGGTTTCACAACGGTGTCCCGGTATCGCGGGTATAAGCGCGCGTGCAACCTTCGCAAAGTCTAACGGTCGAAATTGCGAAGTTGCCTGTGGGAGATACGAATCTCGGGATAATAAAGACCAATCGTTGAAACGCGCGCACGTTGTTGTACACGGCTTCCCTTATATTCTTCAAGCTTCGAGTAATTTTTAGATACCCGCGGTAGCGGTTCAAGCGGCCTGTGCGACACGTGGTAGGGGATACATTGTATCTACGGCGTGTGTATGACGTACGTACCATGAGTTCCCGATTTTAAATCACGTCCGTTCTCGAGACGATAAGACCCGACTCATTGTCAGAGCAGCAGAGCATCATCGTCCTTACTTCGATGACTAAGTTCCTTTTGCATGGAACTTCGTGCGACAACCACGAAGGAAGAAGAACGACAACTCGACCCGCGGAATATTTATGCAAATCCCTAGTGTGTCACAGGCTAATTACGTAGATAATGTATTAAATTACAAACATAAAAAAACACTGTTAAACCTGCGATCCTAGTAGTTCAATCAAACGGAGTATATTGTTTTGTGATTTTTGAGGTTAACCCTCATTTTTCTAATTGAACACACAGTGGTGAAAAATTAATACAACAAAGAGATAAGTTTGCAAATTCTTTAGAATAACGTCATTTTTTAGGAGAAAAATGTGTCAAATTGACAACACACGAGGGACGAAGATGAGGGTTATTTCCTCATTTTAGAAAAAAAAGTACATCTTCCTATTTTTATATCGAAAACGAGTTCAATGTTATTGGCGTTAAAAATGAAATCATAAAGATCACCACACACCCCCCAAAAATAAATATCCCTTTTGACGCAAGGAACGCGGGTTGCAACCCTGGCATATGTATACACGTATACAGCTACCGACTACCGACGCTGAAATTCCCCGAAAGCTCGTCACACGATATCAGAGTTATTCTCCGCTGCTGGTAATTGTATATGTATATGCAGCCATTTTACTGGCCAGCGGAAGAAAGCGAGGTGTGGCCCCTCGCTCGGGGTTCTAATCTACTATACACGGTTGGCGGACACACAACACAACCGCGTCAACCTACTAATCGTTTCTATCGCGGAGTGCGCGCGAGAGCTTTGGAACACGCGCGTACACGCACATAAGAGTCAGAACTAGAGGTGCGACTATCGACTATCGATAAATTGTCGCTATATCGATAATACCCTTAAGATATCGTTAAGGCGAATAGAAGCAACTGAGATAGAATGTAAGGCATTAAATTGTAACGAAATCATTTGAAATTTACTTATATTTATTGGAACTTATTACGGACACCATATGAGCGTATGTATTTTGGTAATAAGTTCAAATAAAAATAAACAGATTTTGAATGATTTTGATTACAATTAACGCGTTGCAGTCTACCTCAATCGTCCTATTCGCCTTAACGATATCTTAACGACATTATCGATATATCGAAATATCGATAGTCGCACCTCTCATTAACGAACCAACCGTATACACGAAAACCAAATCGACTATACACGCGAAGCCTCCACCTGCCTTGGCGGGTTCGATCCGTCCGATGTATTGATCCCATGTATCGATTTTTTACGATTCCGTCGATAACAAACCGCCCACGAAAACGACTGATCTGTCGCGCACCAGACATCATCGGCAGAGTTACGAGAGCGCGCCTCTCCACCTTCCGAGAGAGGCTGCACCGAACTGAGCAAACGCGCGCGCGAGCACAACAGAAGCAACGGGCCCCTGTGCGTCGTCGTCGTTGTTCGAGCGACTTTAGGGACCAGAGGGGGGTCTAGTGATAAATTCTAGTCGATCCAAATCCGGGTAAACCAATTTACGATACGTCAACCAGAACATTTTCGATTAATTGGAGTTGGAATGTTTCGCAAGGTGAATCGAAAGGCAGTTCGGCTGACTCAAGTCTGCTCTCTCGGTGTGGCTAGTGGACCGTAGGAGCATAAGCAGAGTAGACTGTACTAAACCACAGGACATGGTGGCCAGTATCAGTGTGTCATTTGACCCCTGATGAAGCCAACGGCAAAGTTGACGGAATGTTCGGAAAATTTTTTCCGAAGGGACATTACTCGCACCCTCGAACCCTTAACGGTAATGATTAGACTGGCAGAAGCTTGTAAAAAATCACAATTACAGACATGAATATTGAAAAATTAAAAGTGGATGAAACTTTGAATTTCGCGCCTAGAAGCTTTACTACGTTAGTAGTAACACACAAATAGTAACGAAATTTAGTAAAAGCTTCACTTTATTAAGCTTGCCTAAATTTACTTTTTTAAAATTAAAATAAAATCTTCGCTTTATTGCATTTTCCAAGTTAAGGGATGCTGTAAATTACTTTAATACACTTAAGGCGAAATGGACTTTTCCATGAAGATTCGCCACACTATAGGTTTTGAAGGTAACCCGTACAACGAGATACGGTATACCCCCGGCGGAAACATAAACAGAGGCTCGAACGCGGGTCAACGATCGTCCTCGACATTTCAAAAATCTTCGCAGACTTTGTTTGAAACGGAGAACTTTGGGTCGGCTGCAAAAGTTCTGATACATTTCCGATTTTACGATTGTATCAAGATTTTCTTACGATGATTCAATTGTCAGAGGGAGGAAACGGCACTGGATAAGATGATTTCTCTGTAGTCACGATACCCTTTGTTAACGACCAAACCTAACCTTATCTTTGTATTGTTACGTTCCTTACTATCTCGTTATATTGTTACCTCCAAGTGTCCTTGTGTTTATACTAAATAGAAGTATTGGAAACTATAAAAATCACTGATAAGAAAAAAAAAATATAATTTTAGTTCCTCGAAACATATACTCGGACATTCCGTAAACTCCAATCGCTAGACAGGGCATTTAACAAAGGACTGCATGACTTGTTGCGCACCGATTTTGATGAAACTTTGTACAAAATCAGTAAACAGGTAGATTCTAAGGCATACACAGGTCTAGGGATGTAAATACTTAATAGTTTAGGAGATATTTTGCAATAAAAATCGAATTTGGCAGAGTTGTAGAAACAGTAAAATCAGCTGATATGGTAACTTTTGAATGAAAGCTTTTTCTTCTTCCAAAAACGGTGTTTTGTTAATAGAGAAAGCAAAAGTAGTGAAAATTCATTCTTATAAAAGGGTATTAAATGAAACAATGTATGTTTTGTCTTGCAGAGATCTTTTAAAACATTCACCTGGCTTCTTTTCTATTTTCCTTGCATGTTTCATTTAACTGTCTGATTTTTCTTAACTCCCATACTAGTTCTTTCACATTTAACTAGTTTCATGATTATACTAATTGTTTCTAGAAATTCCTCACATTTTTTGTTTCTCCATACCTAGAGTCTCTGACCCTATCTTCTTTGACTTTCCTGTGTCTATAGTCACAATGATTACTTAACGATTCGAGTTCTTTCTTTTAGCATCTTGTATCATCATAACTAGGTTCCCTTAGCCACCTTTCTTTGCATATAACAAAATATCTAACACAGAACTTCTCCTTATCCCTATATATTTTCATTTTCCCTCTCATCGCACTTGCATTCATTCGACAATGAATCACAAGGCCCATAATTTCACATGATCTTAAAAGAACCATTTCTTCTGAGATATACACTTTATCTAGTAATCTCTTACCACCTGTTTTTCCAGAATTCACACTACAAACTTCCACCAAGATCAGCTGTTCTCATCTGTCCCCATTGTTTATACAATATGACATAAATAATACATAATAAGGTATTGCGACAAATTGCTCTAAAACTCTACGCACTACAAACTTCCACCACGATCAACTGTTCTCATCTGTCCTCATTCTTCATGTGATGTGACATAAACCATACAGAATAAACTATGCGACAAATCATTCCCAAATAAAAACTTCCCTCAAACGGTGTATCTAACCCCACCAGACACCATCTTCTGAAGCCACGACGTTCTCCCTACGCCATATCGTTATATCCCAAAGATCCCCACAGAATGAAATAAACATTAGGCGATACTGGTGGATATAGATTGAGTATTTGTGGTTCCTACCCCTCAGGCTGTACATTCCTTAAAAATCCATCTGTACACTACACCTTTTTCCACGAAGGTTTCATTAAAATCGGTGCGTGACACATCGCCCAGCAGTCCCCTTCGGGGACCCGGAGTGCGGATGCGGGTGCAAGGAAGGGGGTAGACGACGAAAAACCGCGGGCAGGAGGGGGAAAGAGGGAGGATAAAACGCGTAAGTGTGCATTTGCACTCGAATCGTATATCGGCGCTGCCGTCGTTGCGGCACGGGGACGGACACACGCACTCTCACGCACGCAGGGGCAGGCAGTCACAAGAGCACGAAGAAACGGGACAGAAGAGACACATACACCCAGGGACATGGATTCCATCCTTGAGAATGTACGCACTTGGCCAGAAATTGCGTCTCTCGTTTGTGTGTTTCCCTTTGTCCCTGCCCCCCTACCCGTCCCGCATATAATAACGAGCGCAATTCCACGTCTCGCGCGCGGACATCTTTTTTATCGATAGAGAGGACCCGTAAGAGAGAAGGGAATCGTCGAAGGCGAAGTCGAGGGGGGAAACGGGACAATGAAGCAGCAGCACGGAGGATCCCCGAGACGAGTTTTTCACGAGCATGCCCGTTTCATATAATCGGATATCCCAACCGTTTAGACGCACACGCACACACACACACATTGTCCGCGAATTTCATGGGTTATTTCCCCGATAAAAATAGTCGCGGGATCGGGGAGCAGGCAGCAGACCGATTGCGACACTTACCCAAGAGCTGTTGCGGTGTAGCAGGGCGCAATATGTCAGCTGACTTGACGTGTGACCGATCGTAATCCTGCGCCAGTATCCGACATAATTCTTAGCGGAGCATCGGGACCCTCGTTTCGCAAATTCAGCACGATTTTCACGGGTTGATCGTTAACCGCGGCCCGCGCACTCTTCACTAATCAAACACGTACACGGGGGAGGGAACGTCGGTTGTTATTTTACGGAACTTGTACAGAGTCCCTTCTCGCACTTGATCGAACAAAAAAAAAACTTTCGATTACGAGACGACGGACGACCAAAGCTGCGGGCACGGGAACAAATACTGCCGATGACTGGTGTAAAGTTAGATCTCTTACCCTCCCCCACTCCGCGCGGTAAGCACTCGGAACCAGGGTCGACAAGCCTCGGACGGGAGTCGTGTTAGGTTCGGTTCTCGTGTGTGCGATCCTTAACCGTTAGTCGGCGCCACTGTCCAATGGAACGGGCCGGCGGGAAAATTCTTGAAAATTATCGCCGAATGACGCAATAAACTGTAACCAACTGCAATTGTTTCTTGTTTACACGATTCAATCGAATTTTGTTCGTTGTAAGCTTGCTTTTGTTAATTATAAACCTATGTATGAAAAAATTGTACGTCGAACTAAATAAATAGATTCTTCGTTACATGAAAACTGTGTTTCGTTTTTTAACTTTCGGTCTAGCACTATTCCATTACGGAATCATTGTATCGAACATATATAATAAAAGGAATTCAACTTGTATCAGTGCGTATGTTCCAAAACCGTATGTTTAATTGAAAAAAATAATTTATTTGATACTTCTTACCTCACGGTGCGAAGTAATTATCCAACTCACTATGCAACCACGAGTCATCAGCCGAAATACGAGCTCCCCCTTCTGTCGTCATGTTTAATGGCATAGAGAGAACTTTTAGTGATACAGAAAACTCATGCGAATTACGGTATTGGAAAATTTTTCTAATCGCGTTAGATTATCTACGATGTCCACCTGAATCAATATTATGCTTCTACAATAATTGGTTGAAGTGTTTCTAATTAATATTTGATTTTATGATATGTAATGTAAACGCGGCTGAATTTTCGTGGCGCCATCGATGGCAGACCGTCCAAGCTAATAGCCAATTAGTTTCACTGTACGCCGGTAAATGGCGCCAAAATGTCATTTCGGTGATCCTGTTATTTAAAAATTTAATATTAATTAAAAAACGTAATTAGCAATTGTTATTTAATTATATGACTCAGGAGACTTCAATCACAGAGTATAGAACAAACAGAAGAGATTTTTAAGTTGCTCAATTTCCTTGATTCATTGCAATTGAAACAATAAAATAATAATTACTATGTACTTGAAAAATTAATTACCAGCTTGGATGTTTTGCTGCAGGTGGTGCCGTATTTCATAATATTATACATACTAATTTAAAAATGTAACAAAGAACATCATTTATGTACACATTCCACTGAATGCAAATATATGAAAAAATTGTATATTAACCTAAATGATTATTTCTGTATATAAAACTGCATCATATTTTTCTATCTCTGATATAGAATTTTGTGTTATAACTTACACTTTCAAATGTAAATTTACAAAAAGATCCGTAGTCTATTAATTACAGAAATGAACTGACACATTTCTTCCGAATCTGAATACAAGTTATGTTGTATAAGGGTTGATTTCCATGATTTTGCGGTCTGTCTATTACCATTTTTCGAACAGTGTATATAATGTCTTTATAGTTTGTTCATTTTTATAGTAAATATATTTATCTAAAATGCTTGTATTTTATGTAATAATTTAAACTATGACATTTCTGATGCATTACCCATTGAAAACTTGATCCCTTGGCAGACAGTGGAAGTAGCTCTTCACTCTACTAATATATCAGTGCACGTTACGTTTGCCGCTCAAATTGGTTAACTGATTCGTTTGAACGTTCGCAAGCGTTCATTTTCCGCGTTCGTTGTGGCATTGCTGCAGAATTTTCCAGCAAGGAAATTCAAAAGAAAATGACCAGGCTGGTTGGTCCGTCGACGTTGATATTCGACGCGAAAGTGAATTCAACATGTTTTGAGGATGCGGAACATGTGTAAGGAATACTGGAAGAATAAAGTGAAAGTGATATAACCACGTCTCGCCAGTTGTTTATGAAAACAATATTAATGAGAAACGATGAACACCCCGCAATCGAATAAAAAGAAGGGTAGAAACAGAGTGGGTGGTATTAACAACGATAGTACCAGTCCCACAAATGCAGAACCGTTGAACACGCAGGAAATATCGAAATTTGTTCTGGTACAAACTTCTGTCTTATAATTATTGATTTAAAATTTATTTTTTAATGTCCTGTTCACACCGACGCTACCATCGTTAGCTAATACTAGTGTCAATAATGAAGTGCTATCTCCCACTATTTATAAAGAATCATATGGGAAAAATGTTAATTGCATAGTGTCCACATCAAATTAATTTAGAGAGCCATGCAAAATGATTGCGCACAAACCCAGTTGTCTGTAGCACTGCAACAGTTGTTTTAAACAGTAGAATAAAAAAGAAAGTTATTTCCGAAGTCGTACAGATATTGTGTTTACTTTCAGGTAAATCCAATCGGAGAAGACCCAAACAAGACATTCAAAATCGGAATCACAGACTCTGTACCTATCATTTCTTTAGAAGAGAATGGATTCGACGAGAAAAACATGGTGCACAAAGGTCACACAGTTCCATCTGAAAAGGACAAGGATGACAAGAATGTCCTGAATAGTCTGCCTGTCGCGATGGTCAAGGAACTGGATGGATATGAACAACAACTAGGAGAGGCTGAAGCACTTCCCAATTCGTACATCAGATTTATGGAACGCAGCGGAGAAGAGCTCGATGGTACGCAAAATATTTTTCTTAGGCTGAAACGATAATTTGATTGTTGCTACAACTGTTGCAGGTGAAGTGGAATACGATTTGGACGAGGAGGACACTGCCTGGTTGTCTATAGTCAACGAGAGACGATTAGCATCGGGACTCAGTCCACCTTTGGAGCCCGACACGTTTGAATTATTGATGGACAGATTAGAGAAGGAGTCGTACTTTCAACAGCAGACCAATGGCGGTGGTGGAGTGGCAGCCGATGAGGATGCAGTCTGTTGCATCTGCATGGACGGAGAGTGTCAGAACAGCAACGCCATATTATTCTGCGATATGTGCAATTTGGCAGTTCATCAAGATTGTTACGGTGTACCGTACATTCCCGAGGGGCAATGGTTGTGCAGGAGGTGCTTGCAGAGTCCTTCGCGAGCTGTCGATTGTGTTTTATGCCCAAACAGAGGCGGTGCCTTCAAACAAACCGATCGTCCAGCCACGTGGGCCCATGTTGTGTGCGCGTTGTGGATACCAGAGGTTCGATTCGCCAATACGGTATTCCTCGAGCCTATAGACAGTATAGAAAGTATTCCAGCAGCACGGTGGCGCCTCACCTGCTGCGTGTGTAAACGCAGAGGATCAGGTGCTTGCATCCAGTGTCACAAGAGCAACTGTTACGCTGCGTTTCACGTGACGTGTGCGCAACAAGCTGGCCTTTGCATGCGTATGAGGACGGTGCAGCCTGCGAACGGGGAGCCGATGTTAGTTCAGAAAACGGCCTACTGCGAGGCACACACGCCACCGGATTACCAGCCCTCCACCAATCCCGCCGATGCCAGAAGAAGAGCGATCGCGAATAAAAAGAGCTCCTCCGCGCCTGTCATTTCTATTCCGACAATACCGCCGGAACGTATTAAGGAAATTGCTTGGTAGCCATCGATAGTTACACTTTTTCAGTCTTATCACTCTGTACGTGGTATTATAAATAATACTTGTAATATTTATCAGTTTAGCCGAGGGCTTGCCCAAGAAGAGCCAGCTGATACAGCGTCTTATCGCGTACTGGACCCTGAAACGGCAGTACAGAAATGGCGTTCCGCTTCTCAGAAGGCTCCAGAGTTCCCATCCGCAGTCCAGAGCTCCGACCCTCGGGGACCATTCCTCACCGCCACCGGACAGCGAGCTGCGCGGTGAATTGTATCGTCAATTGAAATATTGGCAGTGTCTGCGCCAGGATCTGGAGCGTGCTCGACTGCTCTGCGAGTTGGTCCGCAAACGGGAGAAGCTGAAAAAGGAATTGTTCAAAGTGTAAGGCTAATGTACAAAATAGGTCAATCTAGAGAGACATTCGGATAAAATACTTGAAAGTTCAAGGGCTGATTTAAATTCTGCAGGAAAGAGAAGTGTCTGTGGTTCGAACTGCGTCCACTGGAAAGTATCCTGCGCACATTGCTGGATGCGATCAAGGCGAAGGATGTGAACGATGTTTTCGGGCAGCCGGTGAACACCAAGGAGGTTCCAGATTATTTGGAGATCGTAACGCATCCCATGGATCTTTCTACCATGCAGGTAATCGCTCCCACGTGAAAGTCAATTATTGATATAATTTGTAAGAATCGAAGTATACACAATTTCCTTTTACTTACAAAAGGTCAAAATAGAAAGGCAGGAGTACGACACGATCGGTGCTTTCGAAGCGGACTTCAACTTGATGGTGAATAATTGCCTGGCATATAATCGTAAGGACACCATGTTTTACCGAGCTGGAATCAAAATGAAAGAGCAGGGCAGTCTTCTGATAGATCAGGCCCGCAAGGATTATCCCGACCTTGATCCGGTCAGCGAGTCCGAGCAGACTGGATCGAAATCGCGGAAACGGGATCGTACGAATAGAAGCCGCGGCGAGGCGGAATCGCAGCACGGCGAGAAAGAAGTCGGAGGTGGAGGCGTGAACAGGCGAACCGCGGTTTTATTCACTCGCAAGGCCAGGGCTCGCGCCAGCAGGAGCAATCAGATGTTCGTTATGGAGGACGACAGGAAGAAGCAGAGTGATAGCTTCAAAGTGTACAGGTGAACATCTGTTGCTATTCTTTAACCGTCGGTAACACTGATGACTGCGGATTTTATGCATTTATCGCACACACGATTATCTAAAATTCAGTACAGTTCAAGTTTTTCTAAAGTTTACCGAGGTTTTGATTTTTTCCCGACTCACCTAGAAGCCTTAATAGAGCTATCAAATTTCTATTGCGTTCCAATCTTTACAAATTAGTCGACAAAAGTCGATATTTGCATAAACATCCGCTTTAAGCAACGGTACATACATAATTTATCTACAGTAAGGTCTCGATGTTTCAGAAAAGTTTTCAGGCCCTCGTAAATTTACTTTTTGCTGAGCCTCTGCTTAGTTCTGTCTGCTCTATTTTAATTGATCCACAGGGGGATTCTCCCAATGGTGGGGATAACGCCTGCTCGTCTTGTATTCATCGAGGAATCACTGTATCTGTTTTTTTTTTTAAACATTGTAGAAAACAGTGTTACCCCACAGATGTTAGAATTTCCTGTAAATGGCGTTGAATAGACAATCGTCTACTTATAAGGGGACAATTATTATTCGCACTCTTGTCACACACGCGTCATTGGCCGTTCCAGGAGCGGCACAATGGACAGCGATGTGGGAGAAGGTGAAAGTCAGTCGTCGAGTTGCAGCAGTTGCTCCACCAGTCGATCCACCACTCCTGATTTAGACGAGGAGAAACAAAGACAAGAGGCCGACGAGGCGAAGAAAGAAATCGAGACCAAGCAAACGCCGCCGGCCAGCAACGGTCTAGAAGCTCTGCAGCTGGTGTGGGCAAAGTGTCGCGGTTACCCATGGTATCCGGCATTGATAATAGACCCGAACACGCCCAGGGGTACCGTGCACAAAGGTGTGCCGATCCCTGCTCCGCCCGATGACGTATTGGCGCTCGCTGTCAATTACAAGGAACCAGTATTTCTCGTTCTTTTCTTCGATACGAAACGAACATGGTAATTTTCATTCCCACAGAATGCAATTACGGTCTCTTTTTTATTTTATACATACCACTGGCAATAAGACCTTGCTAGTCTGTTCTTTCCGTCATCAGTTCCCGGCTAGATTCGAAAATAAAACTGAAGAACGTATAGCTGCTTCAAAGATATAGCGTTAGCCATAAACGTGGCTGACTTTTAAACCATTAGTACTTGATCATCTGGGGCCCATTGTATCCCACAGCACTCAGGGTCAAGAATGAAAGGGCCAGAAGTATTTTATGTCTGAAATTAGTACGCTATAAGAACTTGTTTTAATTAAAATTAATTGAAAAACCGATCCTAAATTAACGTCTCAAGCCCCTGAACGATGGTCGAGCACAGTTTTTAAAACTCAAGGGTATCTAGTGACAGGATTAGGCTACCGAAACATATAAAATTTAGGGTCGGTCAGGTTTATGGCTAACGCTATATCTCTGAGGCAGCTATACAAGGTGAGTCACCTAACGTTTGCACCTCAAATATCTGTGATGTTTTTAAGCATACGTAAAATGTCCTAAGGACAAAGTTGAATGGTTCAATGAGGCTCACACGATGCCAAAAAATTCATCGGTGTACATAAAGTTGCGTGTCCTGTTACAGGCAATGGCTACCAGGCGAAAAGTTAGAGAAACTTGGAGTATCACAAGAATTGGACGAGGCGAAACTAATCGAATCTCGAAAGCCCGCAGACAGAAAAGCAGTGAAGAAGGCTTACCAGGAAGCGCTCCATTACCGCAAGCAAACTCACAATACAACATTGAACGCTGGTTCAACTAGTTAATCTTTTAACACGTTCTAAATAGTGCATATGTCAACTTATAACTAAGTTAGGACAACGTTTTTGTAAGTATGTAAAAAGTGGTTTTAACGCAATGATTGTAACTTATGGACTTGTAGTCGAGTCACACTTTTCCAAAATTCTATTTATAATGTTTTTAAAATAATGACTGATTTAAAATAAACCATATTGTTTATAAAAAATCAATCAATCCTCTCAGCACACTGGCTCCGTCATATCTCTGAACATTGTGGGGACTATAATAAACGATAAAATATTGTAAATCCTTGATTAACTCCGGTGCGTTGCGTTACAAAAGATATGTGTATATATTTTTCCACCTCATACAAAAAAAAACCAGCGAAGAAAACATCATTCGGGGAGCGATACTCTTTTTTTTCTCCATAGTACGCGAGATTTTAGTGTTCAGAACCACCAAAATTAATTCATTGGCTCCCTCAAGTGCAGATTCTTCTCCACGAACTCGGAAAGCTCTTTGGCGTACATGTCCAGTCTCTGAGTCATCTAGAACCAAAAAAGGAAAAAAGAAATCAACATAATGGAATAGCGTAGGGATGACGAATCTAATGAACCAAAATAATACCGACCCTCAAGCACCAGATGTCCTTCATTTGACGACACATGTTCAGATCCATGTCGCAGACAAGCAGTCCGTCTTTGTCGCGGCTCAGCCCAGGAGTTCTAGTTCCGTCTGGAGCTGTGATGTAGCTGGATCCGTAGAAGTGTCCGAAGTCATGATGCGCTGGTGCACCATCGCCGGATGTGAATTCGTTGGGGAACATCTCTGTGCCCACACGATTGATGGCGCAGGTAAAGTAGCTGTTTGCAACAGCGGCGCATCTAGCCTCGATCGGCCACAGTGGTTCAGACGTATGGCTGGTAGTTGCTGACGGGTTGAAAACAATCTACGGAAACAAAGATTTCAGACTTGAGTGATCACTACTGGTACTTTTTCAACAATTTCTACTGTCTTGGTACACCCACGAGGAAACTCGACTTCCACTAGAGACAAATGCGGCGTAGAATAAGTCTTCTACCACTTAGTAAATTTATTCCAAGTACTGAAATTAATGTTAAATCGAATGTTAATTTGGCATACATTTCAGTAATTCCAAATACTAAATGGTAGGAGGAGATCTAGTACTTTCTTCTTTCCGAATAGAATAATTGTAACATCAACAACAATAGAGTTAGATCTACTGCTTCATTAAGGCATAGACATTTGACGCTAGCAATATGCTTCCACCAATGCAAAACAATGGACGTGTGCCCACAATGTGGATTCGACATACGCTTCTGAACGGATACATTGCCCATTGTTTTATATTGGTCGCTACATAGAAGCCTCAAATGTCTATAACGCTTTTATGGAGACATAGAAACGCGAGCAAATAAGAATTGAGTACATTTTTTCAGATTTAGTACAGTGGACTCTAGCTATATTGCCATGGTCGGGCCTGTAGGGGACTAAAATGGCAATGAATTCAGAGCTCCCTCCTTATCAACATAACCTCAACCTTAGCGCCTGCGCAAAAGCTGGACAGTGGCAATATAGTTAGAGTCCACTGTATATTAGAGGAGCACCACAAGGTACACACCAAAGGGTCTTTCGACCCCCTGAAGAAGCTAGCTGCAATGCTTAGGAAACGTTGAGAAAACAATTTCACAAGGAACATGGCTTGCACCCGAAAGTTCAACAGTGAGAACTGTAATCTACGGAAAATTTCATATGAAATCCATCGGAAAAGGCCTATCTTCCTTAACCCTTTTTTTTTTTTTTAAATTTCTATAGATCATCGTGTACCTCAGCACCATTCAGACCGAACATCATCCAGTTCTGGGGATGATGACGTCCGTAGCAAACGTTAATAGCGATACGTCCGAAGGAAGTCTCGAAGACAGGGTGTCCTGTGTTCCCCTCCATGTAGTAAGTGGACTCGTTGAAGTCGCCCACTCGCGGAATGTGGTTTTTCCTGTGCTTTCCAATCACTTTTCCGTCCGTGCCGATCACCACCGACGTGTTCCACAATGTATCGCTGTTCTCGACGTCCCTCTCAAGAATAGGCGAGATAATCACCATTCCGTGACGTTGAGCCAACTCGGCCATCAGGACCGTTGTCGGCCCGGTTTCAACCTCCTCGGCGAACTCGCACCATGGATACTTTTCCCTTGTGCAGAAGGCGAATGGCATAGCTGTCAAATAATTCGGTTAGATTTTAATACAAAATTTTAAACATTTAAAATCTAAACGTTAGACAATATGGTGCTTCGATATTCGACGCACTTTTGGAGGCTAAATTGGTCGAATTTGTACAGTTCTCAAGTTTAGTAGTTTCAATATTAATTCATTTTTTATACAGGGTGCTTCGATTAGAAATACTGTCGAAAATGACTCGTTACTTAGTGATTGTATTAGAAAACGTTTTGCTGAATTATTTTAAGGGTTGCATCGGATGGATACATCTTATTTGTTTTTAAAATATCAAAGTGACCTTGAGTTTTTTCAAGGTCTGTGCATTTTTTAATGGTTTTTGTGTCACTCGTGTTTTTTTTACGTATATGCACATAATTTTTCCTGGCGTATGTTCTGACCAACATTATTATGCATTTATCGATGTATAATAAGTATGACCTTGAAATGACATTGAACTCTAAAAATGTTAAATTCACTTATATAATTTTTTCCGCTATCCGATTCGTCTCCTGAAACCATTTAAATTACGTAAAAAATATTTCTCGTATGATCACAAATAGAGAAAATATTTAGGTGGCCTGTTTTAAGAACACCCTGTATATTCTCGTATTAATTTACCGTGCAATTAATATTCGTTCGGAATTCGATAAGTAAGGCATATTATGATTGAATTTTCCGTTCCTTCATATTTCACGGAGCCAAGATCAATATATATGTAATTTTTAATAGAATTAAAAATTCATTGAAACAGGAATTTTTTCATAAATATCTACAGATAATTTCTGACTACTGTTCCTGTGCATAATTCACGGAGACAGAATTAGTATCATTATCTGTGCATGTAAACACATAGGTTAGTCTTGTCTGATCGTCTGCTATTGCTTCAAAACAGAATTCATAAAAAGTCTACGCGAGCTGATAAGTATGTGTGTATAAGCTCGCTGCTGCCTCGACGCCTGATAACTGAATGCTCGTGCCGGATGTGAGGTCACGGCACTCACTGTTTAGAAAATGAATTCTTGAATCGAACATATTTCTAATGTACAGGATGTTCCAAAATAGCTTCGACTCCCTGAAGAGGGGTGGGGGGTTTCTGGGATGACTTGAAACAACTTTTTCCATAGTGAAAATGTCATTCGAGACGTGGTTAACGAGATATTAAAGAAAAATCCCGACTAATCAGGGCTCACCCGGCAGACTCGCGCTCTGATTGGTCGGGGTTTTTCGTTAATATCTCGTTAACCACGCCTCGGATGAAATTTTCGTTAAGGAAAAAGTTGTTTCAAATCATCCCAAGATCCCTAATTTCCGGGAGTCAAAGCTACTTTGGAACACCTTGTATATACACTGACGTGCAAACTCGGCTCCTATTAGGGGAAAATGTGGCGTAAGAGAAAGGCCTCCTACCAGTTGGTAAATTTATTTCAAGTACTGAAAATAATGATAAATCGAATGTTAATTTGGCATAAGTGCAGTAATTTTCAATACCAAGTGGTAGGGGGCCCTTCCTCTAACGGAAGCAAAGTTTGCTCGTAAGTGTACATGTATAAATATAATTTTTGCATACCCCAGGCTTCCTGGAGACAGAGCACGTTAACGCCGCAGGCAGCCGCATGGTCGACGTATTTTTGGATTTTCTGATGAAGCGAGCTTCTTTGTTTCTGCAACGGTTCGGTGGTCGGCACCACGATTGAGTGTTGAATCACTCCAACTCGAACGGTCCTGGGAGGGCGCAGTTGTTCCTGCACCTCTCCGCTGAGGATGAACCCTTTCACGTCGAGTTCATTGTCCCCGACCCACTGGGGCAGATCCAAAGAGCTGTCCAATTAAAATACCATTTTTTCAATCAACAACCCTGCATTTAACTAGCGTTAAGTACGAAAAAAAAAATATGTAATGAAATCTTACTGTAATTCACGACCATATAAAAGGCGTTTCACTTCGGCCAGTTCCTTCTCGGGCAGATGCTTCTCCAGCATGCTCTCCAGAGTGTGGTTGAATATGTTTTTCTGCATGATGTTGCCTATGGTAGAGCTGAGAACGTCGACCCAATAGAGAGGTTATGTGCTCGCGATCAGGGACTCCACGGAATTGATGTGCAGCCACGGATTTCACGGCGATATATATATTGGCGGCGTGCCGTAAACATGGCTCCGTTTAATCTAAACTGAAAAATACGCTTGTATCGACGGGTCCAATTAGTCATATTGTTGATCCGGGTTACTCGTATCTCGCTGCCGCCGAAAATTTATCGTATCTTACCTGCTGTCTTCGTATTGTACGAGGTTCAACGGGCAAATTATTAACCACCACGTGTGCAATTTTTAATCGACTCGTGGCGATTATTTATTCGCGAAATAAACATTATCGTGGCTGACAACGTCGACCCGGCGATACCCTATTTTCGGTTATTTTTACATTAACCCTGGTGTATCCGAACAATTTTTTTTCCATTCCTGAAGATCGCATCGAATTGTTTTTAGAGAAAATGTTGTATACAAGGTAATCGAACTGATAACGTGTAATCATCGGGAGTTACTACTATCGCTGAATGTAAACGGATTTCAATTGTTCTCGTCGGAAGAAATCTGTTATCGTAAGCACTAGGGTTTTATTTTCATAAATTTCATTTAAAAAGTAACGGTCAGTTGACCACTTAGATGGCAACAAAGTGTTGATAATGTAGAAAATTAAAACATAAATAGTTAACAAAAATACATATCATGTATATTTTCATAGTTTCAATACGGCTTAAAGTATTAAATATTCAAATGAAATACATTGTTCTCTGTAAAATATAAATTAAATATTCACAGTTTATTATATCAGTACAGGCTATCTGATAATGATTTGAAAAAAAAATACCGCGAAACTTTTTCAAATATCAATCTCGATTGTTATCGAGATAACGATATGTTGAAGTCGATCACTGTGGTCGACGATACGACTATCGATAATCGGTCATAGCATAGTATATACTCGATAGTATACAAACAAGTAAAATGAAAGGGAACAAAAGGACTTGAGAACGAAACGAAATTTTTTAATGTTTTTAAATAGTGAAGTATTTTATAAGTTATGACAGTGGCGCTGTTTTTTTATTATCAAAGGTGATACTCGATTCGTACACGTAAATAAGTTCGGTGTGCCTTACGCTCGCAACACAACCAAAGTTAACCTCTTTATCTGTAACGAAACGAGAAAACCGAATTGGCAAAAGGATAATTTGTGAAGTAGAAGAAAATACGTGACTGCGAGAATGGCGTCGAACAGGGAAAGGCGTTCAAATGCTGGAAATAAAATGTCAAAATTGTTGAACGAAGAAGAGGAAGATGATTTTTACAAGACCACGTACGGTGGCTTTGATGAAGCTGAACAAGACAATGATTACATGTTAATATCTACTCTCTTCAACATAAATCCTTCTATCCCAATGCTCTATTACTTTCATTTAGATCATACTACAACTTTACGGTACTACAATTTCAGGGAAGAAGATGAAGGAGAGGATGAAGTAGATTCCGATTTCAGTATAGATGAAAATGACGAACCGATTTCAGATACAGAACAGGAGGGACCCAAGAAGAAACGTAGATTAGTAACAAAAGCTTACAAGGAACCCAAAGCTCAGTCCCAGTTGCTACCGAAAGAGAAAAAAGTGAGACAACCGAGACAACATAAAAGATTTATAGAAAGCACAGGCAAGCACTTTATGCAGGATATCAATTAATCAGAAATTTGTGTTGACAGTAACTTCCTTACTGTTGCCTTTTTTCTCTCAAAGCGACTTGCACTGTACCAACAAGTTCTAATCTTTTTTAGAAAGAAAATCTATACGTCGCTCCACTGCCGCAAAGTCAGCTGCAACACAGAGACGATTGCGTGAAAGGAACGAAGATCAAAAGCGGAAGACCAGAGTTGTAAGACACGATACTTGGAAACCCACTCAGGAGGAATTATTAGAAGAAGCACTTCAGACTGAACAGGTCAACATGAAATCGTTAGGTGAGCCATTAATAAGAAATTCTGAGTTCAAGAACAGACTGTGCTTTTTCCATTCCTTGTTTGACTTTCGCGTTCCTGTATCGCAGAAAAGTATCAAAAATTAGAAAGTGAAAAGAAGAACACCAGAACAGTCAGGAAAACGCAAACAGGACCTATGATCAGGTACCAGTCGCTGTCGATGCCAGTTATGGTACTTTCCAAAGTGAATTCCGACAAAGAAGACAATAAAATTACGGTTGATGAAGATGACGAGAAGAATGTAAGTGAAAATTCTGAGAACAAAAGCTCAGAAGGAATGGGAAACAGGTAGAATACAATTTGTTTTCTGAACGGACTGCGGATTTAATGCGTTCGTGGCAAACGCACAATGAAACGAAAACTTTTATCGAGCCATCCAATCATGTTTCTCACATTATTTTCCAATTGATCAATCTCTCGAACAGATAAGACAACAGATTTATTCGCTTCTAGTTACTGTAAAGTCCGCGATAAAAACTAGAATTCGCATAAACATCCGCAGTCTACTTATGATATCTGAGAACAGCATTTTTCATTCAATTTTCAATGGATTTCAACAGCGTAGTTGTAAAATCGGAACAAGGTGCGAAGGACACCAGCAAAAAAGATTCCTCCTCTTCTTCTTTGAGAAAGAAGTACTATTATGAGGAAACGAAAGGGTTCTATGAGCGAACCTTCATTACTTTTGAGAATGAGAAAATGTTCTCGGACGCCTTTAAAAAACCTGTCACTCGGATACCACCGACGAAAGCGTTATGTGCAATTACAAGGTAAGTTATTGTATATTAAACATTAAAATTGATTGAAAGAACGCGTTCAGCTGACTCAAGTACGAAAAAAACATAATGTAGATTGCCAGCAAAGTATTTGGATCCGATGACTCAGCTGCCATATAAAAACGTGCAAACATTTCGATTGCTACGTGAAGCATATTATCAACAATTGGAGGCTCGAACTGATATAAATGACAGTTCACAGAGTCCAGAACTGTTACGATGGCTTGAATGGAGGCAGAAAAATCACGTTGGTGCTCAGAGGAGTATGATACGCCTTGAGCCAGCCTCTACTCCAATGCCTTCATAGTCACTTTCCTAAATTACGAGTATTATAAAATACTTTCACCAATACTTCTGCTATTAGTGACAGAAATGTTTACTTTTTCTTATTGATCGAAGGGTAATAGTGTACAATCCGGTCGGTATCTCCAATTTAATTAAAACTTTAATATGTTGAAAGGGGCTGTCTAAAAAGTCAAAATATCATTTTATAAAAGATTAAATGAAAGAACATAAGCTGTAAACAGTAAAAAAGAGGTTTAATTGTTTATTTTCAAAGCATTATACCGATCAGAGTTGGTTAAAGCTAGTTTAATAAAAAAAAAAAGATAATTTTTAAAATGATATTTTCCCATTTTAGAGAGGTCATTTCAACGTATTAAAGTTTGAAGAAAATCGGAGATATCGACCAAATTGTACACTATTACCGATCGAAGTCTTTCGTATATTTAGAGACATTCAATCGGTATTTTTAACAAAGATAACGTTAAATTAATTCAAATCCCTTTTAAGAAAAGTAGAAATAAATACGTGAGCTTTTAAATACTTGCAAATATTAGAGTACATTGGCTGTTTTGCTTCTATCAAACCATTCAACAAACGTTCTAATAGCGGAAGCTTGATGGAACGACTTGAAAGTAAATTGTTTAGATACGTGACTTGTAAATACTTGTATAATTTATTACGCGTTCGATTATTGCATGTCTTTCGCACAAAGTTACACGGACCTTTTGAAACTCAGTGGACATTCTTCAACGCGAGATAACGTTACAATACTGATTTGTACATAAAGTTGAAACTTAATATTGTTACTGTCTGAAGCCTAACGAATGCTGTGTATCGGGTATCATTAATACAGTTAATACAATTGATTTTTGATAAGACAGAAACGACGTCGTTTTTTAAATATTGTATTGCTTCTCAGGATAAAATAACTGATATCAATAATAAATAAGTTCTTCGCGAGAAATAATCTATTTTCGTTTAAACAATAAAATAAAAGTGACGGTTCGAAATACTATCCACAAACATTGCTCATTACACGTACAGTACATGTGGTGTTCAAAGCAAAAATGATTTTATTAATAAAATTATTAAGTACAAAGCATTGATTAATAAAACGCCCTTGCGTTGACACACAGGCTCGGCGTATCCCCCCTCCTAGTTTTTTTTTTTTTTCGTTTTCGAATAAATCGAATAAACTAATCTTATAACGATGCATAATTTATCTTCTAAATTCCATGTCGTACAAATTCGTTTCTGCTTAGCGTAAACGGAAATTCACATCTTACGGTTCCGTAAGGATTATGTCTCGTAACCTAAGGATATATATAAAATATGGTGGGAGAAATAAAGGGATATTCTATCTGGATAGAAATGTATATCGTCTTCATGATCGATATTATTTTTATCGCATACACGACGAACAAAAAAAAAACTGTGTGATTCATCGTGGACAACCGAATATCGCTTCTGAAAGAATTTGTAATTCGAAAGCTGTGACCGTTGGTGGCGAGGGAACACACCGGAAGTGGAGGTCCACTTTCTGCTTCGATGACAAGAAATTGTACACCGTTTCAATTTATAATAATGTCCACTTGGTGAATCGACTGTTGGAAATCATTCTACGAAATACATTGTTTTCCATGTCTCACGTAGCCCAATGCTTTTTTGATACAGATTATAACCAATTCTCAGAACAGTAATTCACACCGTCAAATTCACATACTAAATGATATAACAGAAATAACAGGAATATCCAACAAATTTTGTAATTACACAATTACAAATAACTTCTTCCGACACGTACGTGGTGCTCTTCAAATGACATACATTTCTCCAATTTTCTTATCTTGTCAATGATTTACTTTGGGAACTTTGCGTTCTCCAAATTAAAGATTATTTTTTTGTGTTCCCTCCAAGTAGGCCTAGACAGATTCTTTGACTTCTTGTTCTTCTTCTTTTATTGTTATTATTGTTTTCTTTTTTTTAACTCAAACTTTTCAACATTTCAACATTTTACTCACTCTCTATTTATTTATCAAGATACAACGAGGACTCGTAACGATAACAGATTACATTGCGGCTACACACACATCGAAGCAATACTTATTTAGACACTAGAAAAGTATCTACGACGATAGTAATTTCGCGGATTGTTCACGCGGTACTTTCATATCACCTTCACGCACAGTTATTTAGGATCTGTTTGTCGCGACACGAGCTTTTCGGTTCATCACGTTTCATTATTCGTTTTTTTTTTTTTTTTTTTTTTTTTTTTTTTTTTTTTCTGTATCCTTGGAAAGAAGAAAACACAAAAGGGTAGCCTCGAAAGCGCTTAGTCGGCAAAGCTTCTCGTCGCGCCTCGAAGTCAACGCTACTAGATTGCAAATTTCAAAGCAGAGAGTGAGCAACAATAAAGTGTTTTATTTCCCGATTCAGCCCTGTTTAATCGTTGCTTTCTTTACACGTACACTCAAATGCTAAGCCTCTTCTCTATATCATTCTTCTGGTTTCTCCGCTATTGCTGTGCACTTGTGTACTTAAACCGCAAGAGTTCGTGTGTTAATGCTATTAGGCTGTTCCTGAAACGTGTGGCCAAATTTCGTGGACGTGTGTGCGAGTCATGCATGCCCTCGAGGATGAGAAGAGCCGATAAGTATCTAGATCCTCGAACGATTCCCTTATACCAGTGTTCGAAGATGCTTATCGACACAGCACCTATTGATTTTCCTTTAAACGAGAATCAAAGAGAGAATTGTTACTAAAACTTATTAATAGATCTTATATATTATAACATTCAAGAGATTTATTAACAGTTGCCTCTTGGGGTAACGTATTACGTATTACACGGTAGAATACTGTACGCTCTCTCTATTTTCAAGAAATCTGTTCTCTCCAGTTGAAGCTAACATAAACAAAGTATGTGTGCAGAATGATATCCACTGATACAAAACTAATGTTTTACAATACTTGGTTGTTCCTTTACGAAATCATCCCAATGAAGCCTATTACACTCGCTCTTAATGATCTCTTTCTCTCTCCCCAATTTCTGACAAAGACCTGTCCAATTTCACACAACTGTTGCATCTTGAGAGACCGTACAGTATTTCATCTGGAGACACTGTGATCCATTTCTTTTACAAATAAGTTCAACACAACAGGTGGTCGTCACAGATTCCATGGAATCTTGTACGCTCAAACCACTAACTAACAAGCTTTCGCAGAGACCTGTATGTATGGTACACGTCAGAAAAACTTCCTCTCATCCTCGCACACAGGACAGAAACACACACACACACGCACACACTTGCAAAACTTTGGCCAGGAGTTTCGAACTGCGCCTCTCACTGTATAATGTTTACAAATCATTCGCGTATTCACGATCGCTCACTACGCGGCTGCGTTAGAATCGTACATGTATTACAAAGAAGCAGTAATACGACACTGATTTATCGTAACACGGTATCAGAGACAAAGATAGAGGTTAGGAAATCGGGTTCCGGGATAGGGAGCGAGCGAGGATGAGTTGGATGAATGTTTTCGGGGAGAAAGACTGGTTAGGTGCGTGCGTGTTTCCTCGGCGGGAATGATCAGATGTGTATTACAAAGGTAATGGCTCGTTTAAACGTGAAAAATCATTTATTATTTATCGAACAATCGCCGTAGCTTCTGTCACTCGGAATAGATTTTACACGCGTTTCTTAAAACTTTTTCTGTCGCTTTCTCTTACGAATAGCGCGGTGTTCCCCGAAAATTTCAAAAGAAAAACGAAAGGTCAATGTGTATGCAGTGACGGCCATTAGATTTGTAGAGTATACACAAGCTAATATTCCCCAATCACGGTCGATCGTGTTTCGCTTGGATGTGGTACACGTGTCGCCTGGGTGCCCCGATCCTCATCGTGATTTTCTAGCGTCGAGATATTATGTTTGACTTTCCCAAATAATCCGAAGGAACTTGGAAAAGGAACGAATGGTACGTGGTGTCCATTCTTGTCTTTCAAAAGTGAAGTGTTTATGTTGTGTGTCCCTCGTGTATTGAAGCTAAGCGACCGTGAATGTAAGATGTAAAAGAATAAGTCCTTAAGTACGTCTCGCGGCGGCGCACTTGTCTAAAAATCCGCTTCCAAGCGATAGAATAAAGGAAGAGGGTCTGACGTCTCGATCCTGAGCCACTTGGATTATTTGGGAAATCTTTTTTTTTTTTTTTTTTTGAGTCGTGTATACTTATATTCGTAAATAGTCTTGACACTTGTACTGTATGCACCTGTTACGTTTACCGTCGACCACTTTTCGTTTCTCCTTTGCCTCTTTGTATGTCCTTCTGGAAAAACAAAATGCACCCAGAGCCTGGTTATTAAATGGCATTTATATTACGCGACTGGTTGTTATTAATTGTACCGTTAACGATCATCCTTAATGCTCGCGGAGGGGATATATAAAACAGATGAGAATCTTTTGTTTCTTGTCTCTTTTGTGACTAATTGAACGGTTCTCTTCGAATTTCTGTTGCACGCAACAATGTTATGATATCACTCTTGTACACGTGTGAGTTCAATGTGCAAACTCTGAAATGACTAAAGTTGCCAGAGCCAATTACTGATGAACTGATACCCATATTTTTCATTCTTGAGGTCACCAAGAATCAGACCAAAAGAGGACATACTAATCAGCTTTGGCTAACGTTAAAGGAAATTGAATAAAATTGAGGAGAACTCTAATAGTCGAATGATTTTGTTCGGTTGATTATTTAAGAATTATAAAGAACGTGTATCAAATAAGAAAACTGAATGATCGAACAGATGTGAGATGCATGAATCATACTTTTTCCATCAATTGTATACTGTTTCACGTATCGAGAGTGGTTTACATTGTGGAATAAATTTACACGCGCAAAGTAAATTGATCTGCACGAACTCGAACGTGTCTCAATGATCAAAACGAGCATTTATTCAGTTGAATGTTATACACTGTTATCAAAATAAACAAATTCGTTGTAAACCCTTAACATTTCAGTTACAAGCAAAGGAAAAATAAAAGGAATGCTAACTATACATAAGTTTCTTATGCTCAAGTAAAAGTAACTAGAGTTTTTCAAGTTTACAGCTATCAGTTCATAAATATTTCTTATAAATTAACATCTCCACGAACCACCTTCGTATACATCACGCACATACACATTTGAGGCATATACGTTACAACAAAACACGTTGGAAATAATACTGATGAAGAATGAACAGCGTGTATTAACATTAAAAAAGGCACTAAAACGTATAGTTGAAAAAGAAGCGTACCATTTATCGAGTTATTCCTCTTGCATTGATATAGTATATCGTTCTTCAATGTAAAAGAATGAAATTCTCATGTACATAAATGTAAAATATCGAGCCAAAACGAAAAGCATTTGTTCCTCGAACGTAGAAAATAAATTATCTTGATGTAACGAAATCTGAGTAGCATCTATTTTTGCCGTTCGTGAAAAACAGTATTTTTTTTTAAGTAAATCCTACAAAACGTAAAAGTATAGTCATGTATTTAACGATGCATTCAGTCTATTATTCGTCTAATTAATAAGTTTGTACGACACGTGGGCGAAGAGTGTGGTCGCACTCTTGTTTGTGTCCTCAAAGATCGTAGAACTATGAACAGCAAATCAACGAGAGATCGAGATCACTAAATATTGGAAGAAAAAAATACATAATAAAAGTATCTTTAGTAATATTTAATTCTGAATGCATATGTTAAAATTAACTCAACTTACAAATCAACTTAATAGTTATAATTAACTAACCATAGTTTTCTTATATTAAAACTATGCTATCGTACAAAGAATTATTCCCAGAAACTTTCATTATTTTCTTTTCCTGTTTTTCTTTTTTTCCACGTTACTTTTTTTTGTTTTACTGGACCGTAGACTAAAAATTTATTTCTCTTAGGAAACATGATATTACTCGAGTGTACTCCCGTGTGATATTGATACAGTATTTAGCGTGTACACACATTTTAAGCAGCAAGGTGAGTCACTGGCAGCACTGCTTACGCATTCCCTCTGAATTCATTGTTGGCTTCACGTCGATAGGTTCTACGTTTTGTGGCCGGATTGTGTCACCTTCTGGTGGATCGCGTATCTGTTTCTGCGATACGATTCTGTAGATTTCTGTAAACGATCAAACTCTACGTCACACACCTTGCGATCCCAAACAGGACATTATCTTTGTATTAACACGTTCGCTACTGAGCATCAGATGTAGACAAAAAAAAAAAACTGGAATATTTTTTACAATATTCATCTACATTATACCATACCATTATTCATTATCTCTCTGTTCTATGTTTTCAATACCCAATCAGGAAGCTAAAAACATTCCATCGAGTAGAATAGTAACGTACGTGTTCACAAACTCAATATCTCTATAAAAATAATGACTAGTCTTACTAATAATATTTCTCGACAGTTCATTGCGTTTATTTTATTCTAATCAATACCCTCAGGTAAAAGAGCAGAGTCTCACCTGTTAAGATATTTTGAAACGCTGTCTCAACATTGGTAGAATCTAATGCAGAAGTTTCAATGAAAGAAAGGCCATTTTTTTCTGCAAACACTTTCGCCTCGTCGGTCGGTACCGCGCGTAGATGCCTCAGGTCGGATTTGTTTCCCACCAACATAAGTACAATGTTCTGATCGGCATGGTCCCGCAACTCCCGCAACCATCTTTCCACATTTTCATACGTTAGATGCTTCGCGATATCGTACACCAATAGAGCTCCAACTGCTCCACGGTAATATCTAACATTCCAAGAAAAAAACAAACAAAACATACAATTATGGCATTTATGCAGCTGATAAACGCTTCTTTTACTTTTAGCCTTATTATGTATGCTATCGTCACGTACAAAAGCTGATAAATCGTTCAATATACAGGACGTTCGATTACTGGTGCCAGAAACTTTAAGGAGCGATTCTATGTGCAAAAATAAGATGAAAATCAATACTAACTTTTAATATCAATACTTTCTGTCCGATATATCGTATGCATCGATACATCTATAGATCTTAGAACTATTCTAAAAGGAATAATCTTCATACTGATTTGTTTTTTAATATCGATACTTTATGCATCATACGAAAAAAATCAATACGTATCGATACTTTTTAATGTGCATGAGTCAGCTGATTTACCGTCTCGGTCGATAACCGTCAGTGCTGTAATATACGAGGCGCCTTGTGACAGTGCGAAATATTTTCATGAAACTTAACGAAAATAAAGCGGATTTTTATGAACGTCTCTGGCTTTTAGCAAGTAGGCAGGTTTAATGTCGTACAACGATTTGTACTGAATGTTCCAGAAACTTTTGAAAAAAAATTATTCCAGTACAAGACGTCACAACTTACGGTGTAAGCGGGCCTAACTCGAGGTGATTACGCCACTAACGGTCATCGACCGAGCCCGTTGATCAGCTGACTCACGCGCCTTTTAAGTAGAACATGTTTATGTTTCGACAATTAACTTGAAAATAATGTTATTCTTGATTTTTGTCCTATTTCGACATGTAAAAATACTTCTTAAACTTTCTGTCGCCAGTAGTATAACGTTTTATCGTTTTGCTCGGAGAACTACAATAATGTGACCTTTCATTTTTTATTCTTTTTTTTTTTAACTTACGCAGAAGTAATTGCACGGTAACGTTCTTGTCCAGCTGTGTCCCAAATCTGGGCTTTGATAGTTTTTCCATCTACTTGTATACTACGCGTTGCAAATTCAACTCCTATGGTTGACTTCGATTCCAAGTTAAATTCGTTTCTCGTAAATCGTGATAAGAGATTACTTTTTCCTACTCCAGAATCACCGATAAGAACAACTGAAATAACACAAGGACAATTATTATTTTGTTAAACAAACTGTTTATTTAAACTATTACGAAGATCTATCCAAGAGATCTTGCATATTCTGAACTGTTTAGCATTTGTTATACACTTATAAAGACACATTACACTGCTTTATCCTGTCCATAACTTTACAATAAATAGAAGGAAATTAAGCACCGATAAAAAGTGCAAATTTTCTTTGTAAAGTGTAAAATATTCTTTTTTCCACTGCAAACATAATTGTAATTTCAAGGAGCTACTTCATTTAATAAAACAACCTGGTAACAAAATGAAAGTACCTATGTCTTTAAACATACAGGGTGTCCTAGATATAGGTTGACATATTTTAAGTTCTGTTTACCACATGGAACAGTTTTAAAAAAAATATATACCAATTTATTATACACAAAATATATATGCATTATCTTAACAATATACTAGATATTAAAAAATTCAATTGAAATTTGTTTAATTTACAATGTGAGAAGTGACAGGAAACAGATATTCCAAAATAAAATAAAAAGAGATAAAAATATATCCATAAAGGATATTGTCAAAGCTGAGAATCCTTTCTAGCGAAACTAAGCAACCAGCTAGAAGTATTTAATCTTTGAGTCATTTTTTTCATATCAAACATCAGTAGATAAGAATTAGCCCTTTATTTGCACACATAATTTTGCAGTAAGAGAAAACCAATCATCAAAGTCCAATGAAACTTTTCTCAAGCCCATATTTTCTCTATAAGAAAAAAAGATGGAAATAAAAATAATTTCAGTACAGAATGACACATCCATCACGAAAAATCAGTATGACAATCTCTCCCACGTACGATTTTTCGTTCGCTAAAGACGACATACACACACACACACACGCTAGGTGTCTGATGTCATCGTTTAAGCTAGGCGCCCTGTTAACACCGCTATTCTCTGTCAATCGTTCGAACGGTCACGATTCGAACTTGATGTTGATACGGTCGCCCATTGTTATTGAACGATGACAATTGTTGATTTGAAACTGATGCATAGATGTACGACACACAGATGAGTTAAAATTGTCGTGTAAAGATACGCGCCAACGACACGCGAGAGCCTATAGGGGACACAACAGTGGGAAGAGGAAGAAGATACACGTACACACACGTACGCGTCTCTCTCTCTCTCTCTCTCTCTCTCTCTCTCTCTCTCTGTGTGTGTGTGTGTGTATACAGAGGGAATATGCAAATGCCTGCCTGTGTGCGCACACGTACGTGGACCGTGTATATATGTGGTGTTGGGAAAAATGTTCACCGTTAAGCGAAATTTTGCGAACGTAACCAGAATTCGAAACGAACGGGCGGTTAGGTTTACCTTTAAATAAATAATCGTATTCGTCGTCCCGAGTGCCCATCTCGTCTGAAGCAGCGGTACCCTTCTTTTTTAGCAAACTGACGGACGGTGGCTAGGATCTATCGGGTATACACTGATACGGTTCCCTGTAGTTATTTACAAGAATCCAGGAGGAGCCTTCGTTCTCGGGCCCCCGTTAACACTGTTGCTCTCCACGGGACCAACGGTCGACACACCGTCGTGAAACACGTACGCGCCGAAATAAACTACGAAACGAAACAGGCACGAGCACACGATGATATAATTATTTTCGTTCTTTCAATTTAACAGTACAATATGGCCTCCTTTCTACGCCCCTCCAAACTGATAAATTACACATGCGCAATGCGTGACTGTCAACGCACGCGCAGATCGAACGGGAGTCACGTTTACGAATAGTGTAGATAGTCAGCTCTGGCGACGGTTGCTGTAATTCGATCGAAAAAGCGGGACATTCGAATTTCCATATTTAATTACGCGAGAATTTGCTGTCGGTAGATCTGGACGAAATTTCTTTGGAATTATAACTTGAAATGGACATTTCAAAGCAGGATAATCGTTATTGGATAACTAATATATATTTTAATTGGTTTCGTTTTTTAAATGAATGGGAACTAAAATCACGATTGAATCACCTTTTCATACAATAGAATTAATTAAAGCAGAATACAAAACATAATAAGTAAATTGAAAACATTTTTGTCTACAAAGACGTTTTTCTTATTTATTCTAAACATCTCTAAAAATATTTTTATGATCTATGTATATTGGACCTTCAATGGGATGACGTGTTTGAATTAAAAAAGTCCCCCACTTTCTTAACTCAGAAACTCATATTCTTTGGTCGATTTGTTGCGTATGTAGTGTCATGTTATTTTCCGATCGGGCCGGTTCACGAATGCATCGTTCACTGATTATGTATTTATATTTTTTCTACGCAAGATCGTAATTATACGATATAATCGAATAATTTAAAAGTTAGAACGTGTTATCAAGCGGAAACAAACGCAGTCAAGGTTACATATCATCATCGAATTATCTCTGAAGTCATTACTTCGTATTATTCCTGTACACTTACCGATGTCCGTTTTAGTTATTCAAACATTTAATTCGCAGTGAAATCATGTGATCGGATCATGTTAAATTAATTTCTAACGTTATAGATCATCGACCGGTACGATTCGTACCGAATTTATGGACTGACAAACGTTCTATTATGCTGTACCGCACACGTGTTTTATTGTTCTAGATCAGTCATGCGATTATCGACGGAGAAGTATGTCGTTAAATGCGGAAGATAATGTATGTACCATATTGCATCAGCGTAAAGTAGGATAAAAATCAACTATGAATAAATTAAGTAATATACCGCCGGATTTGGATCTGGACGATCCTAGATTTAGGATCAAGCCATATCAACAAATTGTGGCTTCATGCACTGGTGCTTTTATTACATCAGTATTTGGTAAGTATGCTAATATAATCACTAGATTCGAGATTTTATGCATTTATAGCATATACAATGGTTTAAATGTATAATAAAACCAATGAGCCTTTTATTCAAATATTTCAGTGCGTATAACAGATTAATTTGAATATTTACCATTGATAGTATTATAATTTAAATAACATTTATTGATTACCTATAAGTGGAAGCATTTAAAATATTTTATTAGTTCTATGTAGATTATACCAATATACATAATCATCCTTTTTATGTTTTTAAGTGACCCCTTTGGATGTGGTAAAAATTCGCCTTCAAGCACAGCAGAAAGCAATGCTTTCAAATAAATGTTTTCTTTACTGTAATGGTTTAATGGATCATCTGTGTCCATGTCCAAATGGTAGAGGCCCAGCGTGGGCTAGCGGAAATGGAAAATTTAATGGCACAGTGGTAAATTAAATTAATGTAAAAGATGAAATACTATGTTTTCCATCTGTTAATAATAATTTACTAATATTTATAGGATGCCCTTATGAAAATTGGTAAAAACGAAGGAATTCTTTCCTTATGGAGTGGTCTAAGTCCTACTCTTGTTCTAGCAGTACCTGCAACTATAGTATATTTTGTTTCGTACGAACAATTAAGATTATATTTTAAGGTAACACAATAAGTGTCTCGATATTGCTTGTTCCTCTTTATTCATCTTCTAATATTGTATATTTTCTTTCAGGATCAGTATAATAATAAATTTAGAAGGGATAAAATTAGTATTGCAGCTATGGAACAACCGTTTTGGATTCCTATGTTGGCTGGGGCCATAGCCCGTGTATGGGCTGCAACTTTAGTCAGCCCGTTAGAATTAATTAGGACGAAAATGCAGTCGCAGAAATTGAGTTATGCCGGTAATTTTTCCTTAACGTTATTTTCTTATATTTCAATTTATGAATATAATCTCTATACTCTACTCACAGAAATAATGCAAGCATTGAAAACCGTTGTAAGACACAGTGGTGTTTCTGGGTTATGGATGGGGTTAAGCAGCACTCTCCTACGTGATGTACCTTTTAGCGCAATTTACTGGTTAAATTATGAAACTATAAAACAACAATGTCGCGGAAAACAACAAACTTTTACTTTTAATCTTGCAGCGGGTGCTATAGCAGGTTTTGTAAGTAATACTTTCCAACGAACCCTTGCTCGATTAATATTCGTAGGAAACTTAATTTACATTTTCAATCTTCCAGATAGCAGCATTTTTAACGATACCTTTCGACGTAGTGAAAACACACAGACAGATAGATATGGGAGAGAAAGAAATTTATTCAGGTAGTAGTCTCTTAGAAAATTTCTAGTCGTATTTCACGCAATACTGGTGACCAATTACAGTTCCTTACCTACCCGTGGAACTAAAAAATTTAAATAATATTTGTAACTTTAAATCTTTTTTTCTAAATTTTGTAACCACATATTGTTTCCATCAACTGTGCACTGTTTGTGAATCATAAACAAAGATAATTCAATTGTTAATGCCGATTTCAGATAAACCTGGACGTAGCAGCGGAACTTGGACCGTAATAAGAAAAATTTACCATCAAAACGGTGTAAAAGGCTTGTTCACAGGATTGATTCCTCGAGTGATAAAAGTAGCTCCAGCATGCGCGATTATGATCGCGACATTCGAACACGGGAAACGATTCTTTCAAACGTACAACGCAAATATAATACTTCAACATGAAAACGACATGCAATACCTACAACACAAAGCCAATAGTGACAAATGACATGCATATTTTGTTATGTACCATAAAATATATTTGAATCGACTAAATACATTTTATTTAAATCTCCCTTAGAATGGTCGTATTCTATTTTGTACAAATCAATATCTTTTCCTGAAATATTATTGACCGCTGATAATTCCGCCGTAAGGTTTTAAGCCAACTCCATACGACACTCGTTCACAGTGCACCTTTCGGGTACGTTCTCACGTGACAGGAAAAGTCATGGTTTTCGTTCTATGACAATATAAAACAATATCACAACAACGTGGCATCTAATTTTTTCGTCGACAAAAGTCATAAACATTTAGTGTCACTCCATAAAAATCACGATTTACTGTCACTTAAAAACATGCCTTTAAAGTCCAAGTAAATCACCAGCAACGTACTACACGAAGGGTCAAGCGAGCATCTATTATTCGCTAACGAATTCAATAATATCGAATAATTTTCCAGGTAAATCCGACGGTGAACGTGATAATCGAAAAAGGTAAGAATTTTCCGTATTAAATAATTAACAATAAAATCATCTGTACGTTTCCGGAAACACAGTATAGCACACGAATCGATCAGTTACTGCGGATAAACGGTCGCTCGGCTAAGTTCGGTTGGTCGATACGCGTAGTCGGCGATACTCGGGGCTCTTGTCGATGTGTGGCGAATAGGTCATCGCACGGAAGTCGGTTCCTTTCGTTCGGTTGGGATAGGCTGTTCGTCCGGCGCTTCGTTCACTAGTCACTCACCAATTCAACATTCCAAAGGCCGGCTCCTCTTACCGCCTCTCTTCGACACTGTCCTCTGGTAAGTCGAATCTCCTGCTCGCTGAGGATCAGTTAAAATCACCGAAAATTCGTGTAATTCCACGGGAACTGCCGCGATTAACGATCATCCTGTTGGAAATAGTAACTGGAGCATCGTTACGTCGTGATATAATCGGGGGAACGGTGAGAAATTCGTGCGGTAACCGGAATTCGGCCATCGTAGAAGGGAACACGAGTATAAGAAGCCATTTTCTATTCGCCAATTACGTTCGTCCGGTTCGTTTGCAGTAGTATATCCGTGCTTTTTTCATTACAAAAACAATAAAAAGAAGAAATCGTTAATTATCGACCGTGTGCGTTTTTGACCCTGCTACCCTTCACGGATATCGGATCGATTTTACGTAGAGCACGCGTTACGTAATCTAGATCGTGCATTTTGTTCGTGGCTTGCAGTGGTTCACTTGTCGTTCGCCGGGTTTAGCACGCGGACTCGTTGGAAGAAGGAATCTTTTCAAACATTTCGTGTGTATTCGTTCGTTTTTCAGGTACTCGCTTAGCGAATACATAACGCCAAACGTCACCATGTACGCTTGCACTCGATTCATCGCACCTCTCGCCAGGTCTACCGTGAGTAAAGAGAAGCTTCCCATGGTTCTTTTTGTGGTCCACACGCGCGTCATTATATAACGCGCGGAGTGCCTGATTTTTCCTTGTAATTCCCTGAATTTTCTTCGCAGTTGGTCTCTGGAACCAAGAACTACATCCGGCCGTTGAGCAGTGCCGTGGTAAACCACAGCCAGACACTTCAGCAGAATCAAGTCCAGAGCCCAGTCAGCATCGTGAGTATCCCTGACTTCTTTTTTTTTTCTTCACACATTGCATAACCCCTCTACCCCCCATTGAAGGTTACATAAGCATCTTTAACCTCGTATTGGAAATGTTTCTCGTGGTAAACAGACGATTTAGTGAATTAAATCCCTGGTTGCATTATTCGTGCATTTGCAGGTCTTTAAAGTTTGCATGTTTATGATTACAATGGATGTTGTACACCCATCGATGTTGTGTCACTGAGAATGTTCAATGAATGGGATAAAGTACAACAAAGGTAGGGCGATCGATTGTGTAAATTTATATGTGGGAATTAAATATGTAATTGTATTAAATTAGAGGGCATGTATCTGAATTATAAAATTTATGATTCTTGTTTCTTGTTCTCCTTTGGTAGCTTGGTATAACAAATGGGTGATTAAAATGAATACAGAAGTTTGACAGTTCTTTTATTTTACTGTTAAACATAGAACAGATTTCTTCTAAGCATTCCGAGGTATTGATTAAGTATGGTAAAACTAATAATAGTGGTTATGTAAGTCACACTTATCTTCAATGAAGAAATAGTTTGAGTGTGCTTGACCTCCTTGGAAATCAAACTGGATTAATTGTAATATATTAATCATCTTTTTCTGATATTTTATTAAATACAAAGAAATTAATGATCCAATGAATAGAATTTCACATTTCTGAGTTTTGTAACATAAACCGATGTTTCTTCATTTTCATATTATAACTTCATCTTTTGTCGCCGTACATTCAGATGGTATGCAAATGTGCTCTACCATGTTAATTATGTTTTACAGTCGCCTATTGTGCGTAACTTCCAAACTTCCACAATCAGTCGTGACATTGACTCTGCTGCTAAGTTCATTGGTGCTGGTGCAGCCACTGTTGGTGTCGCTGGATCAGGTATGCGAACATATTTCTTTTACTGATTAATTTAAATTACGAATTGTTAAGTTCACTTGTCAGTTAAACTCTGCAGACATACTCCTCTAACTGTTACTATCTCCTATTTCTCCGTAACAATCCATATGTGTTCCCGTTGTTTGTATTTCAGGTGTTGGCATCGGATTGATTTTTGGTTCCTTGATTCTTGGTTATGCCCGAAACCCCTCCTTAAAGCAGCAAGTCTTTAGCTATGCTGTTCTTGGTTTTGCGTTATCAGAAGCAATGGGTCTCTTTTGCCTGATGATAGCGTTCCTTATATTGTTTGCCCTATAAGTTCTCTTCCACAAATTGCTCCTGATCACAGCAAGTTATGAAATCCATTTCATTAAAAACATCAACAAAAGGGAACTTCTGTAATCCGAAAATTCCGATTTTTCAAGACTTTCTTTGAACCATCAGGCAATTTATTTTGCTATTTTTTTAGTTCTTTAAGGTGACAACACCCCTTGAAGGTTAGGTGGACAGAAAAATAGAAAAGCACACATTAACCTTTAAGGAACGTTATCACTCTGAAGAACTAAAAAGTAGTAAAATAAATTGCCCGATGTTTTCATTGAGGTCCCCTACAGACCAGCAAAAATCAGACTTTATAGGTTAAGCAGAGTTCGCTTGCAATTCGTTCATTGAATCAACAAGGCGTACAGCATCAGCAGTTGAGGGATCTTCATTCTGATTTCAGGTGCTGGAATTGGATCGGTGTTTGGATCTTTAATCATCGGCTATGCCAGGAATCCGTCTCTCAAGCAGCAGCTCTTCTCGTATGCCATCTTGGGATTCGCCTTGTCTGAGGCCATGGGTCTTTTCTGCCTTATGATGGCTTTCCTGCTCTTGTTCGCGTTCTAAGTCACCAATATCGCATAAGAAATTGCTGATAGTTTTAGTGCGTCACTGCCAAGACAGCGTCTCCTTGCTTCCTATACGGGGGGCAGTAGAAGCTGTTGTTGGTACATGGGATGCCATGAAATCATTAGAGAAGCTCACGAGTATCTGGTTCGACGGGGTGTGCGACGGTACGACAATGAGTGGGGTGGACATACAACTTGGCTGTACACACGTGTTTTTGGATAAAATCGGACCGTCTCCCGACCCCTTCAAACCTGTTCACTGATTTGTAATCATTTCATGGTCTGCTGTTTCATGTAGCGTAACTCACATTGTTATAAAGAAAAAAAAATCAGTATAACGAACGAATAAAACGTTAATGAAAGTTTATTAAAAAAAGAAAACTAAACGACAGCCTCTTCACCTGCATACCCGTTATATATACGCACGTACGTATGGTATTCAACACGTTGATATCGTTCCAAGAGAGTAGTACTACACCTTTGATGATTCTCTTTTGTTACCCGGATATGGTTCATTATTGTGCCGTCGCGTGCACGTTGTTAAGGTAACTCTTGACGAAAAAAAAGGAAAAACTGTACAGTGATATCAAATAAACACTTTTGTCGTGAAATCATTTTTTATTGTACGAATGATTCATCGTTTGAATTGTCCTTCTCCTCGATAACGCCTAACATTCACATAACTTCTGTATATTGTCTTTTAGAGAAACTCTGTTTTTATAGAGAGAAATATGTACAAGTCGAAGATTCTCCAGAAATAACGAGAAGATAGTGATCAAAGTTTTTGTCAATATATCAGTCTCTTTTGGCATTAACAGTTAAGTTATAATTATTGTACAACATTTAATTGAAATATGAAACATTTGTTTTTGCTATTTGTAAATTGGATTTAATAGAAGTAACAGAAATAATTGGACACATATTGTTCATTACGTGTGTTTATTGAATACGAAATGTAAATTCAATAACAGTCGTTGATAACATATTGATTGTAGGCCAAATGCATACCTACGCATTGCATTAACAAAAAAAAAAAAGAATGAAGTTTTGTAAATCATTAATTTTTGCCGACTTAGGATAGCAATTAATCTTCATGAATTATATTACAACTTTACAAATATTGTGCATGTGTATAAACTTAACATAGCGAACATAATTTAAAGGTTTGACGCAACCGATGATCACGCGGATTCGCCAGGCTTGGAGGGTCGTAGAATTTTTTTATACTCCATTATTTCATCTATACGAAACAATCGCTATAAGTACTCTTAAAGAACAATACGAGTAAGTTAAAAGTAACGTTTACTTAAAATAAGAAAAAATGTAAGTAAAGTCTTTAGTCTTCATTAGCTTAAAAATATTCGTCCATCTCGAAGTTTTCAAATTAACTGTACACCTTCCGGTCGAAAAGTCGAATCGATATTAAACGTTTTTCTTTTTTACACAGGTATGATAATGTACAGTATCGTAAAAAAAAGAAAGAAATTAATTCATTGCATTGGCAAAACCTATTTGTGGTTCTCCTAGATTGTTATGCGGTAACATGTTCAGTTGGTCTAAAAGATTTTCCCTCTCCCGCAAACACGCCCACGCTTTCTCGTGTTCCTTCTTCGTCAACGGGATCTTCCTTTGCTTCGAGAGCATCAGTTTCTTGTAGTGTTCGATCACCTCGTTGTCTGCGGTGCTGATCTTTCGTTTCAGTGCCTGTCGTTTGCTCTCCTCCTGGGCCAACGTCAGCAGCCTCTTCAATTGCATCACATTATGATTCGATAGCGCTTGGAGTTCTTGCTGACATCTTTTAATTTCCGTTAAAATCTCATCGTCGTCCTGACCTCGTTTCTGGGGATCAGCCTCCAGGATTCCCTGTTCGACCAGTTCCTTGTGCATTCTTAATTCTAAATTAATGGAGTTCTGAATCGTAAGATCCCTCAATACAGGTGGATCGCTGTCCCTGAATAGTTTATTATCTGTATTATTATTAGCAACGTACACATTCTCCTCCAGCAAAGCAGAGACCAATCTCTGCGTAAGTGGCCCAGCTATACTGTGCGCCTTCTTGTCATTCTTTCCCACTAACAGAGACACGTCCGAACGACTTTTTTTCTTCTCTCTATTCGGATTCGCTGCGTCCTCCTCTTGCAGCAGATCGTTGTGAGCCCATATCAAACTGTAATGTCGTCCCAACGGAGGAACCTTCTTGAATTCACTAATATCACTATGGGTGGCAATCAGTTCTTCCAACAGTTTAATATCGTCGGGCATGATGTCTGTACAGTAGGGATCCACAGACGCCCAAAATTTATTAGGCGTGTCGTTTTTCGGTAACAGTAACTTCGGCGACTCGGATTTCGAGCCCTCGATCCTAGTGATTTCGTGCACATTTGGAATGACTTGAGAGTTCGAGCTGGAGACAGCTTTTTGCTTGAACAGCTTCGCTGGCAAAGGTGACTGAGTTTTGGCGTTGAGTTCCTTTGGCTTGAATTTCTCATCCTTGACCTTCTTGTCCAGAAGCGAAAGGCCTTTCCCACTTTTCGACCTTCTGTCTCTGCGCTCCTCAGCTGACGATAAGCTTGCTATTTCCTCTTGAATCATACGATGTCGCACGACGACAGACGACAGGAGCATTTCTAATTCTAACTGTAACGTATCTAGGTCCTCCATTCCAACACCTTCCTCCACGCTGCGCTGTAGAATACTGCTGTATCTTGGAAGAAGGCGGCTATTGTCGGCAATTTTTAATACAGGTAAAGACATTGTTGTCTCCATACTTTCCGAGCTTGTGTCTGAATTCAGTGTTGAAGACTGGACAGTCTTCCCACTCTCTCGGATCTTGACGACAGCCTTTTTGGAACTTTGCTTGCCTTTACCCGACATGGTTAACAGGGGGTCTAGTAGAACAGGTAAATGTTCGGCAAGAATATCGTGACTGCTACACTATGAAACATTCATTTTTAAATGATTTCATTAGAATGATTCATCTTTCTCTCCTTTCATTTTCGGTACTTAAAACTGTTACCTCTTTAATAAACAATGCTTCCTCTCGACATCTACCAGGAATTCCAGTATTTACCTCGAGGAGTCTAACTGTCATACAGTTTCAATTGTTTATCCTCCATTTGTCAATAGTTTTATTATCAACGTCGTCGAATGTTAGGTTAAGGACGTCCACAATCTGTCGTGATATCGATCGCCTCGATCAACCGAGGCAGTAGTGTGTAGAATGGATCGATCGATTTTCACCTAATTAAAGTCGATCAGATATAGAATAATTCTATTTTCATGTGTTTTGTAGCAAAATATTGTTTATTTAACTGGACACCCATACGAAAGCGCCATTGCGAATCCATGGGGAGTCATCTAACGGCGAAGTCAGCAAAATAATCGACAGGGGAAAATACAGGTATTGGCGCGACCATAGTCATTAGACAGTATTATCGAATTTTTGTAGCGGGAACTGCTAACAAACTGCAGACTTTATGCATTTATAACATATGTTAATATGTGGAATGCAATAAAATAAAATTCCAACGAAAATATTATGAAGTATTTTATATGTTTAGCTCGATAAAATCATTAAAGAAGAATGTGACTAATAATCGTAACTGTAATAATAGTAATATATCGTTTCTGTTATTTAAGCTTCCTGATGAATCTCAAATCGTAAAAATCTATCTTTCAAATCGTACAAAATTCATCGTAGTTACAAAATCTCTTACTCTTGCTTGTCACTACTGATTGTTGTGATTACACGATTTAATGTAACGAAGAAGATTGTTGAATAATTGCACGTGACTTCATGAGGTAATAATATTCCTCGGTTAAATTGTTTTAAAAACAATAGTTTTTATGAATAACCAGAAATAACAGTGACAATATGCAGATTGTAATTCGTCGAATGAGCGTCACTGAGGGCACAGAATTGCCATTAGGTCATAGTGTCTACGGTAAGGGACAGAAAATATGAAAAATCCGTATTATTATATTGTGTTTTGTAAATGGTAATACAATATTTCTTATCTGAGCGACATTTATTCCAGTATAATGGCATCGATTTTTGGTGTCCGTGTCTCAAAAGTCAATCCCATAGGATGTTTGTCACGATTATGTAAGGTTAGTAATCTTCGACAGTATTATTGAATTAATGAAAAAAAAAGAAACAGCAGCTCTAAAGTATATTTCTTATAAAATGTTTGAAACTTCGCCTTAACAAGATTTCCAATAGTTGTGAATTAAACACTTCGAACTATGTAAATATAGAATGGAATAAACTAAATATTCTGCTCCATTTACATATTTCATGGATTGTCTTTTAGGCATCAAAAAACCACAATGTGACACAAGTGGCATTGATGACAAGATTATCATTGAAGATACCTGGGAATAAACCTCCTCCATTCCCCTATTGGAAGAAAACGTATAATATTATTCGACGGGTGATGGATCCAATCACATACAGATTTGACGAAAATACCAGACTAGTGGTTGTAGACGGGCTTCCTGCTGTCGGGAAGAGCAAATTTTGTGAAAAGATAGCGGATGCTTTTGGAATGTTGTACATGCCAGCACCAACGCAAGATGATTTGTACATTAATCGATATGGATTCGATGTCCGTACTTTAGACGACCAGTTACCATTTATGTGCAAAAGTTTTGACGTACCAAGATTTTTAGAGAATCCCCATGATAAAAGAGCAGGCTTATTTCAAGAACAGTTTTTCCTAATGAGGATGGATCAGTACTTTAATGCATTGCTTCATATATTATCGACCGGTCAAGGTGTGGTTCTTAATCGGTCTGTTTTCTCAGAGATCATCTTTGCCGAAGCCATGTTGAAGGCTGGTTATATCCATGAAGACGTATACCTGCATTATGTCACAATGAGGAATACTGCTTTAAAGAAGTTACCAAGACCGCATTTAGCAGTATACTTAGATGTACCCGCAGAACTTGTCCAGGTAATATCCTACCAATGTTTCTCGGTCAATTGTAATGACATATGATCAACTTTTCGAACAAATCCGTTACAGGAGAAGATTAAGCAAAGAGGTAGACCCGAGGAAATTAACACGAAAGTCTTCAGTACACAATTCCTGAACGATATGAGAGACAGCTACAGAGAGAAATACCTAAAGCAGTTGGCTACTCACTCGCATTTATTAATTTACGATTGGTCCAAAGAGGCTGATTATAATATTGTAGTGGAAGATATAGAGGCTATAGATTTTGAAAATTATGAGAATAAGAAATTGAAGGATTGGGAGTTTGATGAGGCAGAGGACGTTGTTATGTTAAGATACAAGTGTGATACCGATTACCGGTTGAGTTTGTATTGTAAAATGTTGATGGCAGGTGAGACAGTAATGGCTGAAGATTTAATACAGACAGCGGAGGATAGGGAAAAGTCAAAAAAAGTAATGGCCGAAGTATGTAAAATATTCTTGTGCTGTTCTCAGATTATTAAGCGATTGTTACGAAATATATAATTGTTGCTTTTTTTCCAGTGTGACACTGAACAATTTTCATACGGATTCAATCCAAAAGCCGGCGACAAAATTCTTTTTAAAGGTAATCCACGCGACCTCTACTACTTTCGTCGAAATTCGCAGGATTTTGTAAATCGATCGAAGTATATGTCGTGAAGTCTGTAATATAAATAGAACTAGAATTCGAAGGAAAAGTAAGAGCGTCTTTGAGCTAATCGAAAGAAATCAGTGAGATGCTCGATTGTTAACGATATAATAAAATGAAATGTAGTTCCAAGTTGAGTTTAGGATTGCTTCACTTTTAGTCAGTCTCAGTGTCAAGGAGCTTTATCACACATTAGGAGCTTAATTCGTCTGAACTTAAGGATGGAAAAAATAGAGTGTATAATACTTAATAATGTTATTATTACTCCGTCATTATATTGGGAAACATACAGCTTAAAAATATAAATTCTTCATGAAATTATATTGATTTCAATGCACGAAAATGCCCGGCTATAAGACTTCTGAGAAATAGAATATTAATTATTCATGCAGAAACGGAAATCACATATTCACTGGTCTTTTTGGTACAGTACAAACCGCATAACCTATATAAATGCTTTGGTTCGTGTAGAAGTTACCGATGATAATTTATAAATCTACCGAATCAGACAACACTTTCGTTCTTCACCACTCTGCAGGTTTATAAAATTTATATCTGCGGTATCCGCGCGACAACCTTTTCTATTCACTTGTGTAACAAGTGAAAATAAGTGAAGTAAAGTTTGTGTAAAAATAGTAAATTCTGATTATAGAAGATAGTGAGAAAAATCATCACCTTTTCATGTTTCAAGTGCATCGGTGTTAAATATACGAAAAAAAGAAACGTGCTGCGACTTAAATGATAAAGGAAACAGTATATACTACGCTTTGAAACAAAATGAAGTTGACTGTTCATAAATTTGCACAAATACTTTTACAGCGAAGTGTTTTCAATTAACTCTATACCTCGTTTTTGGAAACGTTAATTGAGATTAACCAAACGAAATCGGAATGTGAATTTTTGGTCTGTAAACCATTTACCTTGTTGTTTAATTCGCAATCATACATTCCTGCAGAAAGACGGCACACCTTCAGGAATAATAGTTATCCGTTCATATTTTTGCTTTAAAATCAACTGGGCAAAACCGGCAGTGGTCTGACATTTAAGTGTAACCATACATCCTATGTATAAACAATCTGTACATTTAATATTTAACTTTGCACACGACAGAATTAGAACATCGTTTAATTAATTTCTGTTACCGAGGACACGTGTATAATACTAATTCTTTGCACTTTGCGCCGTCATTAGAAAAAAATGACATATATATTCGCTGAAGTACAGTCAGCACGATTTGTTAATGAGAAGCTTTTTTTAAGGGGTCAAACTGCAACAGGAATTAGTTTTTCGTGCAGTTTTGTAGAAGGCCTTCGACTGTGCACTAAGACCTTCCGACTTCAAAACGAGATCGTCCAATTTCTCTCCTCTTTGAAGCGCAGCCTCGAGCGTGTTGCGCTGTAAATTTCGGCAAAACAATTATGAAACAAAATAGTAAACACCTTGATCGTTTACTCTCGTGTAATACTCACCAAAATGATGTTTGTTTCGTCTAAATCGGTTTGCATTTTCGTAAGAGCGTCCGCTTCATTAGGATTCTGATATTTAGCTAGGTAGACATTGATCTGCGAGAAATCGGTCGTGGCCTCGCTCAGTGTATCCCACGTGGAATTCGGATATCTGGCTGCGAAATCGTCCATGACTCTCGTGATCAATGTGTGCGCCACTCTTTTCGGGTATTCGTGATCCGATATAAGAACCGCGGCTAGATTGTCCGCTCTCACGTACACGTGACACATGTAATCTATAGGGAAGTATTGTTTAAACTTAACACACTATTTTCGTGCGATTTGCTTCTCACGATAATTAGCTTTTCTGCATTAAGCGAAGAATAAACATATCTGGACCCTAGGGGCAGAATGTATTAAGTTCATATTTTTAAGAAACTGACAAATTTTTCACTCTTTCGAATGGTAAAAATTACTTCGTTCTAAGTTGTTTAGTTTTTATTATAATAGTGTGAAAATGATATTAAGTCTGTATCTTGTTCCGAGCCAAACAATGTAAAATCTATTACATAGGGGAAGTAATGTTCACCATTCTTTGCATCTAGCAATTGTTTCTTGTTGAATTCTTAACCAAATGGTTCCAAAGTTACAAGATTTTCCTACAGCTTTCCTCTAAAGTATGAAAAGTATGACTTAATAAACTCTGGCTCTGGGGTCCCGATATGTATTCAAAACGAACTTTACCTCCTTCTTTCACGCTCTGCCTGCAACTCAGCTGAGTCCTTTCTACAATCGTCTTGCTTACAAAGCCCATAAACTCTTTGACGCTTCCTCTTTGGAAAAACGAGAACGACTCTACGTCGTACGCAGCCTTCACGGTTGTCGCCGACGTAGGCTTTTTATGTAGAACACACAACGCGTATAACTTTACCATTTTTTTTTAGCTGTAAAAGAAACATTGTTAATCGGCAAGTGGGATCGTATCTTAATTCGATCAAGTCAGCAATGTTCTAGCCATCGGTCTCAAATGTGTTAACTCCTCGGTTATTTTTGTTTCTACTAGTCTACAGCAGAAGTCTGATTTTTTGTACAGTATTAGACTAGGAAAATGCAATTTTATTACCTTCAAAAGAGGATTATTCTAAAATTAGAGATATTTCTAAAATTGACAGAAGTTACCAGACACTTTAGTAAAATCTATTTAATGATGTCTTTGAGGAAAGCATCAGACACAGAACTTACAATTAATTTCTTAAACTGATGTAAAAAATTTACTTTCATTACCATCATAATTTCAGTCTACAGGCACAACAGGTGTTTACGTAAACAATAATAAATCTGATGTACTTAAGTATTCTAAATAATGAAAAATTGATCATACGCGGCGTAATTATTAAATACGTATCTGTAAATCGTGCTTTATTCAGTTTCTTATTACAGATAGAAGTAAATTCGAACACAAAAAAGATATACTTTTTTGAAAGCACTATCATTTTATGAAACTGTCGAAGGGTTAAGACATTCAATCCATTTGGAGTGAACTTGATTCGTCGAGTCGTGGAAATCCAAAATAATAGATTTACAACAATGAAACATTATTTTACACAGCACAATGCAAAAAAGTAGAAAAAAATTATATTTTTATATGAAGGGTTGTCTTACTCAACCTACCACCGTTTACTATAAAACGTTGCCGTTAGTTTAATTTCTTTAACACACGACACACGCGTCAAGTGTACATCCAACCCGTGGATTTTTTTATTTCCAGATGTGATTCAATAACTACTTCTATTTTCTTTCACGACTACACCTACTCTAATTTTACGGATCAAGGAGATCGCCATCTTGCCACCGTGGTTCTCACTCGAGTGTAATTTTCTAATAAATCTACGAAATGATCGATGGAACTTTTTTCATTCCGTCTATCTCTTTTGTTTGAGTACTAGCGACTACGTTGCGTTTAGTTTAAGTTATTTTGTATTAATAGCATTAATTAGTATTAATTAGAATATTAAGATAATATTAGTTCTAAGCTGAAGAACGAAGACAACCGACGAGGGAACTTAGTTTTTTATAGGTTTAGGCTCAAGAAAGAAGTCATCCGCCGAGGGATTTTAGTACAGATAGTATTAGATAGTTAAGATTTAAGTTATTTATAAGGTTTATTGTGAAAGGTGGGAAGATGTAGAACTTGTGATTCCATCTACCTGCCTTGGGCCTCCACTCGCAGCAACCTCCTCGTGGTGAGGCCCGGGCAATCGGTATTATCATCGGTAAAGTATTGTAAAACGAAGATAATATCGAGCTAATGGCTGCAAACTTTGCATAATATTTCGTAACAGCATGTTCTATGTTACAGCGGACTTTAAAGGCGAAGGTAGCTATATATATATATATGTATAAACAGGCATTATTTTTCTTCGTAACGAATTACATTCGAAGCTTCAAGAACGTAGACTAGTACACTCTAGCATCTGGGAACCAGTAATTACAAGAGCATGGGTAAAATTATAATTGTTTTCAACGGTTTACTCTGTATCCCGTCATGCGTCCCCCGTTTAGTTCACTTTAGACAAGTCATACAACATTATCCTGACAACTTTCGTCTTGACCAAGCATACGATTTGTAGCTTAAAGAACGTAGATTAATCGGCTGTCATTAACAGTAACAATAAACGACCAGAACACTATTAAAATCGCATTTAATCGCGGAGTACCACTACTTTTTTGACGGGTGGCGCCACCAGTCAAAAAAATAGTGGTACTCCGCGATTAAATGCGATTTAAACAGTGTTCTGGACGTTTATTGTTATTTGCAATGACAGAGGATTAATCTACGTTCTTTCAGCTACAAATTGAGTGCTTTGTCAAGGCGGAAGCTGTCAGGATAACGTCGGAAGAGTTGTCCAAAGTGAACTAAACGGGGTAAGAAAAGTAAAGACAAAAAGTAAAGAACTATTAGGTTTTCTCCACCAATCAGAAACGATCACGAAAAATCACAAATCACTGTGAAAAATCACCGTGATTGGGAACGAACGTGATCGAATAACGAGTGATTCACAACAAGTAGCAGTTCACGCCATCTCTAGTGAGCGTTCGCAAATCCTCAGCTTTACTCGCCGTACTCAGCTTTCAGAAAATCCTCAGCGATTCCTATTTGAACCATAGACCGGGGCTTTCAGAGGATCCAAGAGGATTAACTATTCAGCTTGTTTCTGGTTCTGTACATAGAATTAATATGATTTTATATTTAAATTTAATACAATAATTACATCGTTATTAGTGTAGTTATCGGTGGTGTTATTAGTGGTGATTCCATTTAAAATGGCAGATATTGCAAGTAAGAAGAAAGCTAAAGTTGTTTTGTCTATGCAACAACGGCTGGAGATTCTGGAAGATTTGAAGACACAGTCTCATGCAAGGATTGCTGAAAAATATGGTGTACACCCAAGAACAATTTATCGGATAAGCAGAAACGCTGCACGCATTAGCGAATTTACAGACAGGAGTAAGGAACAGAAGGAACGGCGAGCTATTAAAAGACCAAAGTATGAAGAATTGGAACAGTGTATGCTGACATGGATTGCAGAAAGGAGGTCACTCGGGGATATCCTGTCAGATGCTGTAATTTTCCAGAAAGCTGCCGAAATGAAAAAAAATTTTCCATTATATTCACATTCAAACTTGACCAGAACTTGGCTTGCATCTTTCAAGAAACGTAACAACATACGTTTTGTCAATGGATTTCGTGACACAGACAGTGCTGATGTAAATGCGGCTGGGGTATTTGTAAAGGATTTGAAAAACTTAATAGAAGAAGAGCACATAAATGTGGAAAACATTTATAACATGGATGAAAGCAGGCTTATGTGGAAAGCTCTGCCCAAAAAGGTGCAGGAAAAATTCAAAGAAGAGTGCCTCGGACGTTCCACTATCAGCAGTGAGCGAATTACATTGGTGTTGTGTGCGAATGCGTCAGGAACAAACAAAATGACACCCTTATTAATCTATAAATATCAGAATCCAAGGTCTTTGAAAGATTGCAAAGATAGCCTTCCTGTCATATTTAAATCACAAGCAAATGGATGTATGGATCAATCATTATTTAAAGATTGGTTTGAGAATCACTTTAAGCCTGATGTAAGGAAGTACCAAGTACAGAAAGAAATAAATGGTAAAGTTATTTTATTATTAGACAATTGCGATGAACACGAACTTTCAACAGATATAGAAGAAGATGATGATTTCAAAATAATATATCTACCACCTTACACAACCACTCTTATACATCCCATGTATCAGGGGATAGTACTGAAAACTAAAAGACTTTTCCTCCACAGAATGTTACAAAGGGTTGTAAGGTGTGACGGAGGAGTAAACGAATTTTATAAAGACTACAACATGAAAAGTTGTATAGATATATTGCATGAATCATGGGCGGAAGTAACGTCAGAGACCATAAGAAATGCTTGGAATGAAATTATTCCAGTACCTGCTGCAAATTTCGAGGAAACCGAAGAAAGAGATCAATCGCTTCAACGTGATCTCCAAGATCTGATCAGCACCATTATTGGAGAAAAATCTACAGAACAACATGTCACAGAATTTTTATCTGCATGCGAGGAAGTAGGAAGGAAAAGTTTTCCCAAGAAGGAAAAGTTAGAAGATGAATGCGAAGAAAATGAAAATAAGAATGACAACAAAGATGAAGAAGATGATGTAGAGAAAGACAATATTGATGACAGTAAAGATGAAGATAGTTTCAAAGAACGAAAAGAAATAGTTGTTCCAAGAGTTATAGATGAAGGTAATTTCGGAGAACAAGAAGAATTACTTGTTTTAGGAGATACAGATGAAGATAATTTCGAAGAACAAGAAGAAATACTTGTTCCAAGAGATCTAGATGAAGATACTATACACGAATTAAAATATTTATTGGGACATCTCATGTTTTATAGTACCAAAGCACCTCCATATATACAGCTAATAGTACAAAGTGTAAAAGAATATTTTTTAGATAACCAAAATGAGAAATAAAAAAAGATCAATAATTTTTGCTCTTTGGGAACAGTCAGACGAGTAATGTACAAGGTGAATTTCTCGCTGCTTGAGTGGAAACGCAAGCCGTCCGTTTTGTTGCTTAAACGACAAAGCAGGCAGCCTTTCCATCCTAGCAACGAGAGATTCACCTTGTACAGTGCAGGCCTGTCCAAATGGTACATATAAGTAATATTTACGACTACCTTTACTAAATTTGTACAAATGTTATTATTAGTATACTATAAAATGGTGTAAATGTAAATAATACTCAAACCTACATTTACTATATAAATTTGTATAAATATTATTATAAATATACATATATAGTCAATTCATACACGTAAATAGTATTTAAGCCTAGTTTTACTGAATAAATTGTACATTCTCTTACGATTTTGTTAATAAAAAACAGTTAAATAATACATGTGCGTTATCCCATATTTTGCGAAATTTGAATTTGAAAAAGTGCGGGAAATTGTAAAATCGCGAAAATGCAAAAATAATGGTAGACACCTGGTGGTGGAAATTGGAACTAAATCCAGAACCTCTTGGAAAAGTTTTAAATAACGCAAATTTTTGTTTACTCTTGAAAGTCACAGCAACCGTTATATTTCAATCTAAAACCATCTAAATAAATTATACTGAATTACACATTAAACGAAGGAAGAGTGAGGGAGTTCTCTTTAACTTCGTGTATCTGCATTTCAATGATATGAAAGAAATCGATTAAACCAAATTTATGCAAATTCGATTAACTGCAGTTAATATTGATTGTTACACAGTTATCTGTCTTGTATATCATTGTATATATTCAATTTAAAAATGTTTCTAATGTGCAATACCGTTTCAACAACAATAATAATAATATGGTTGCTGGATATCGATTGACAAGTTCAAAACCAGTGTCAGCTTCGGGTTTTTGATTATCGTTCAGCAATGCCCTAGACTAGTCAATAAACGTAACGCGTAAATTTCGTGACACGTAAGGCACTGAATCGTGATAAATATTAATCTCTGAATCTATTCGAGAATCTAGTAGCATGTGTAATCAATTACATCATTTATGTAAATAAACCAATAATCACTCCTTGTTCCGTTCTGATAAAAAAAAAACAACAGCATCTATCATGACAGAGGACGTAAATCGGGTGAACAAATGCTACAAAGAGTCTCTGAAGCCCACTGCTAAAACGAATGTAAGCAAAACACTGTCAAATCTTGCATATCATAGCCAAACAACTGGTTCAAGTGACAAAAGTCAGTTACCTGAAATTCTTAACCTTTTTATGCATACAAGACAAACTATTATGCAGTTGATGCGATATTAAACTCATATGTATACATATTTTAAAAAAAAAGGAAAACCATTCTTTAAGACATATCTATTAATAAAGTACCTGGGATCTAGTGTGACCATAAAAAATTTTTTTCTGAATCAATTTTTTCAGGTGTTGGAATGCAGAGTTTGCGAAGAGGTATTCACAGTGGATGGAATGAAAGTTCCAAGGCTGTTACACTGTGGCCATACAGTATGTCACTCCTGTCTACTCCATCTAAGGCCCTGCATGAATGATCAGCAGTTCTTGTTATGTCCGTTCGACAGACAACCTATGGACATTAGTCAGAACAATATTTATGGCTTGAAGAAGAACTTTGCTTTGATCGAGCTGCTCGAAAGGCTGGAAGAATCAAATTGCGAGAAAACACTAGTGTTGGAACGAGAAAGGCTTCAGTCGAATCAGTCATGCGACGAGGATGAAGCGCACACTGCTGTGTTGTACTGTACCATTTGCGCCATTCACTTATGCGAGAATTGCGACAATACCATTCACTCGTCCAAAACGTTGAGTAAACATAAAAGAGTGCCCCTGTCGGAGAAACCAAAGGACAAGCCAAAGTGTCCAGTGCACACTACGCACGTAGCAGAATTCACGTGCAGCCAAGAAGGCTGCCACAATTCGCTTATGTGTTATCTGTGCAAGGACTATGGCAGGCATAGTACGCATAAGGTAATCAGTAGAATTCGTAGCTGAACCGAAAAATATATATATATATCTGTGAGTTGAATTGCAGCTGGCTCTGGTGGAAGTTGAGGCCGAAAACATCAGGAAGTCCATAATCACTGCTCTGCAAAAGATGACGCAGTTCATGGAGAGCATGAGGGACACAGCGAATAGAATAGGCATGTGTTCATTTCCAATATAGCTTTTGGTTGCTCGCATGAGGAGTTAGAGAATGATGCTGCCACCTGTTTAGTTCGAATGAGAAATAATTATTAATCTAGAAAGTAACGATTCTGCTATCACTACCAGACACTGTGATACAGGACTTGGAAGGATGGGCCATAGAAGATGCAAGGCAGAGAGTTCGACAGCACTTCGAGGAACTAAGAGTTCTGCTAGCAGAACAAGAGAAAGCAGCCATTTCCTGTATCGAGGCAGAGACTCGTGGGAGGCTGCGCGCTCTGAGACAGCAGCAAGAAGATCTCACCACCACCAGGTCTCAAGTAGCTGACGTGTGTATTCAGTGTGAAAGTATTTTGGATTCTGAGGATTGGAAGCTGCTGAACAGCGCCACGAAAGTCAAGGAAGTCTTAACCACGCTTGAGCAGCAACAGCAACACTATGCTCAATTAGGACCAGACTTCCTTACACCTGAATCTTCGATACCCATAATATTTAGCAGGGTTCGTAATACTCTGTTTTTTCTATTCTTTCCTCTACAATAATCGATTTAACGAATATTTAAGAGTATAATTACGATTTCAGGACAACCGGGTACACATTGGTACAAAGATTGACATGCGTGTGGTGATCCTTGGGCTTGACGGTGCTGGGAAAACTAGCATCCTAACAGCTATGCGAGGTATCACGCTTACCAGTCCTCCCATACCCACCATAGGGTTCAACGTGGAAAGCCTGGAGTATAAGAATTTAGTGTTCACACTGTGGGACGTTGGGGGCCAACAGAAATTCAGACCCTTGTGGAAACACTACTACCACAACACACAGGCAGTTATCTTTGTCGTCGATGCCAGTAACAGGTCAAGATTCGAGGAGGCACAGAACGAGCTGTCCAAAATCATAAATGAACGTAAACTTAAGGATGCCCTCTTCCTTATATACGCTAACAAGCAGGTGTGGTAATCGATGCAATTGCACGAATAATGGAAATTGTAGTACAACTGAAGTACAGCGTTGCATCCCTATTGTTCACTTTACTGTCCAATGGAGACTTGCAATTGGGGGTACATGCCACAATATTATAAATTTACAGAACAACTTTTAGGAAAAATAAGGTTAAAGAGTTGTTGACGCTACAAGAAGCTAAAAACCGTCGTAAATGTGGTATTTATCACTTTTCCACATAAAGAATAGCGTAAATCACTAGTTTCTATCTACTTTTCCATTTCTTGTCTCGTTACCAAAGAACTAATTAGTGCACTGACGAGCAAACTCGGCTTTTTCTAAGGGAAAAGTCACTGTAGGGGTAAGGACCTATTGTTTGACAAAATTTATTTCAAATACTGAAATAAAAGTTAAACCGAATGTTAATTTGGCATAAATTCCAGCAACTCCCAAGTGATAGGTCTTTCCCTTACACCACTTTCTCCCCTAGCGTCTAAATCTACAGAATATAGGGGAAATGGTTATGTGATTACGCGAAAGTCGACGAGGCGTGCTTATAGAGAAAGAACACTGTATTTCAGATCACTACGATGTTAGTCTCTACTTTGTGAAGCCAATTCTCTATTGTATATTGCAGGATGTACCTGGCTGCGCCAGCGTCGAAGAACTGACAGACATTCTCTGTTTACAAAAGCTCTGCTGCGGACGAGCGTGGCACATCCAAGGCTCGTCGCTAGTCGCAAATGCTGGCGGCTTTACGCAAGGCCTCGACTGGTTAACGCAACGACTGGGAACCCCCGAAACATTGTACACGATACCCACAGTATCGTAAAGCAAAAAACATACACACGTTTAGGTATTTTCTTTCCTTCTTCATACACGCTCACAGTTCGTATAAATTCAATTGTTAGTTGTCCCTCTACAAACTAAGTATTACACATTCCAGAAACATGTTTGTCGATAACTGAAGGTTGTGAGGAAAGTGATAAAAACGGTAGAATCATCGTAGTCATCATTAGTGTAAAACGCATGCATCTTTGTTATGACAATATATGTATAATTGTGCCGATGAGGAGCAATTTAGTAGGCGAAACAAATAAAAACGGTTCCCCGAGCACGTCTAGAAAAGTCTTATTTATTACATTTTGTTTATTGGTTTTTGCCTTCGATACATGAATCATACCCAATTTTACTTTTTTTTACTTGTTCACTCAGTCACGTCCGCGCGCGCACACACATCCCAATCACACGTTTACCTCTTTTCTTTTTCCTCTTTTTTTTCATTTTAAACCATTTTTTCTTTAAACTGGAGCGAGCTTTTTCTTAATACGCGTACACTGTACGGAAATTGAAATAATATATAATACATACATACATATATATATATGTATATATAATATAGCATCGTTTAAATTACACCTTCGATTATTCTTTTAATTGGTATATATATAAAAAAAAAAAAAACACTTGACAAACAAAAACGGAACAACTTAGTCTTTTTTCGTGGAGCTGTGCCATCGGGTGGGGGGAAGGGACACGGGGCAAGATGACTCTATTCTTATATAATACATATATATTACATATGTATGTATATAGGGGAGTTAAGAATATAAGGTGTGTTTCGATTTGCAGCGTGCCTTCGGCAGCACACAACCCGAGACCCACTTTCTCTCTATCTCTTTCTCTGTGGATGATCCAACATCTCATGGGTTTCTCTCTTTCTCTCACTGACAGTGTTTCTCGTGGAACACGAACGAAGAGTTTGAAGACTAGGATTAAAATGTTTCTTTTTTTGTTGTTTAGGCTGCAAAGACAAGGCCGTGCGCTTTGATTAAAAATGGAAAAACCTTGAGGGAGGATGATCTTCACCACTGTGTAAAAAATGTTCCCCACACGAACTACGGGTGTTCAGCCAGCGTTCTTTTTTCGCCCGTTCGCGCGCCTCATTATTATTAAGTGATGGTCATCGGTTGTTTGTGACGTTTTGCGTTTGGAAATTGTTGGTGCGTGTCGCGGCCACACAGCTCCTGGAATACAGTCTGCGTTCGTGTCGATTCGCGACACAATTTATTTACAATTCGTCGTGTTCCTGTTGACAGAAAAACAAGAAACGATTGAAGAAAAGGTTCCTAACCTTCATTCTGACATGAGAAATTCGAACCAGTGTTGTTAAAATCAGCCTCGAGTCGCTTGAATTGTATAAACGTGCATAATACTAAATATTGTGTAACATATTATCATATGATTTTAACAGGCAATCACTGGGGCTGAAGACAAAATCAGCAGAACACGTAGTAAACGTGTTAAACGTAAAAGCCTCGAGTTTGATATGATATTAGCCTTAAAGACTAAGTTTTTTAAGCTTTATAGTATTAAAGACTCGAGCTTTATACATCACGAATTCAAACATTGTATTTTCCCGTTCAGCCTGAATCCAAATTTAGCTTGATCATCTTTTCGATGATCCCTCGAGCATTCACTGCCGTGTTACTTACTTCAGTATCTGGGACACTGTTCTCCTCCTCATCTGCATCTTCATCCTCGTCATCGTCTTTGTTATCTTCATTCTCTTTGCTCTCCTTTTCTCTCTGCTTCCTCTCCTCCTCATCCAGAGCCTCCTTCATCTTCTTCTCGCCCTCCTGAAAGCAAAAAAACCCGTCTGGTTTGCCCATTCTTCCTCGTTTCAAGCAAAACGGTACAGTCACAACATCAGCAACGAGGAATTCCAGCTTTTTTATCGCTCATTAAAAGTCGGCTACGCTTTTTTGACATCACATTCGCCACGTTTTAACGTTCGAATACCAGTGGGGGGTGGGGTACTTTGATTATGTACTCACAGGAGTGGGCTTCCAGACTTCTTCACCGAATTCACGAGCCGCCTCTGGGTCGTCTGTGATCAGAACGTTGTCGAAGATCGTGCCAGATTTCACCTGCCAGAGATCGAAACCGATCGCGCAGATCTCGTCCCTCTTGTACAGTTCTGGGTCGGCGGTGTACTCGGGGTTGTCTATTTCTGGGTGAATCCACGGCCCTTTGTAGTTCGGGTTGTCGATTTGCTTGGGTTTCCATTCGCCCTGGAAGAGAAAACAATCATGGTTAATGAAAAGAAAAGAAAAGAAAAAAAATGCTTGTGATCGTTGGACTCTGCAAGACAAATACCTTGTACTCGGGGTTGTCGATCATAGGAGCTTCCCATTCTCCGTCCATCTCGTCGTCCCAGTCTTCTGGCTTGGAAGCCTCAGGGTCAGGAATGTGCTCTGGCTTGTCCCAGTCCTCTGGTTTCTGGTCATCAGGATCGGGAATGGTGGGCTTGTCGTCCCAGTCGTCAGGCTTAGTCTGAGATGGGTCCTTGATCTTCTTTGGAGGGAGGAAATCCCAGTCTGCTTCCAGCGCACCGGACTCGACCTCTTCATTGTCAATAAGTACCTGAAAGGAAGACAATCATCTCATCAAAATACTGCAGCAATTAATAATTAGTGTAATAATTCTTTAAATATTTAGTATAATTATTGTTAAGAGCTGTCGTTCTTTGCTTATTGCGTAGAGAAGCAAATCATAACTCGTATACAATTAATAAGCAAGATAATCCTTGATCTTCGAGATCCTCTAGCACCCATTCTCCACAATGGAATCAAAAAGAACGTGTGACTCTAGGCTCGATCTACGTGTACTTAAATAATTTTTTTATCTGCTCACCTTGTATGTGTTATCAGGGTTGACGATCAGAGTGTACAGGTGAGTGTAAATGTCATCCTTGCAACGGATGTCTTTGTTGATTAACAAGTTCTTGCCCTTGTAGCTGAAGATGACGTGAACCTTCTTTGTTCCGGGTCCGCAAATATCGGGTCCTGTGGAAGAACGTTCGAGCAACAAAATTAAACAGTGTTGTGCGTTTGTTGGACTCGTGCCAGACAAACATGAGGCTGCACAATCTGTGCATAAAAGTAGACAGTGTGTCCAATTCGAGAAAGTTTCTTATAAGAAAAGCAATTCATCGTTTTTCCTGGCTAGGAAATAAAATGACTAAAATGTAGAGGATTGTCTCGTCACAGGTGCCTGAACTATGTATAAGAAACCATATTCAGGGCATATGCTAGACTTTGCTCTCCGAGTACCATCAGCACCAATACATCACTGGATGTGATCAGTGACTCTTGGCTCGGGTGTATCGTAAAGTATTGAATAATTCTTACCGAACATAATTTGGTATGGACTTTCTCCATGCATGTCCTTCTGTTCCAACGAACAGTCGAATACTTTAACGTATCCACCACCGCAGTCAATGTTCTGTTCATGTTTCACAGAGAACTGAACAACAAGTGGCTTGTCCTTGTTGCTGAAGGGTTTGAACTTTGTGCTCAAGGCATAGAATCTTGCATCCTGAGAAGTCTGGATACCTATAAACAATATTTAACAGAAAGTATTCTGTTATAAAACAAGATTCACAAATAATTTGAAAACCTGTGAAAAAACTAGCACCTATATGTACCTTTGTCATTTTCCGGATCATTCCAGAACTTCCCATGGCTAAGTACAAATTTGCCGAACTCTTTTCCAGGGTGCTCGGAGTACACCCAATTCTTTTCCCACGAATCTGAAAAAAGTACCATAATAATTAATTTAAAAACAAAACAAGAAACGGGAATACTCAATTTCTATGTCGTGTGGGTGACTCAGGAGGAATATATTGATAAATACACAAATTCCACCTAGTCACCGAGATCAATAAAAGGACCCAGAAATGGTTCATCATCCTCAAATTTTTAAATACGTTTTTTATCCAGGGATAAAATTACGGAGGGAATGGAGGGGAGGGGAGGGGAGGGGGAACAAGGAAAATATAATTTTCCAAAAAACAATACCATCCCAACAAAATTGTTTCCAGAGCCACGAGGTCGAAAACTCCGAAACGTACACGGTCTGCAACGCGCGGATCAACCGATCGATCGCACGTCATGTCGGCGGAGTGCACAACCGTACGCTTATATGCCACGAGACATCTTTTCAGTGGCCACGTCCGTGGGAATTCTCGATACGTCCCCCACTGACGCCGCGCATATGGGACCGTAAACAAATCCCACGTACAGAATCACGATTCCACGGATTCCAGCGAAGACGATCGAAGAGAGCAAGGGCGTGTGTACGTGTGTGTGTGGTTACCAAGGAGAAATATACAGAGCGTGGGCAATCCGCCTTGATTCATCGAAATCTAGCATTGACGAGGAAGAGCCGGCCGAACCGGTGATTTTCACAGAGAAAATGGATGACGTGGGTGTGGTTCGCGACGAGAAAATCGTCCCAAAAAAGAGATCTCTGTTGAATATACTATATCCCCTTTGGGCTCGTGTGGATGGGGACAGAATATTCGATGGAAGTCGGACGACGATCGAGGTGGAAAACGTGGGAGAGGTCGGGAAAGAATTTTTCGAGGTCAGATTTTCGGTACGTACCGTCCAGGAACTTTTCCTCGAAGTAGACTTCACCGTACACCAGCGTGACCGCCACCAGAAGAAGAAACGCACAGAACGACTGCATTTTCTTTTAGACGCCGGGGGGGACAACGAGAGTCCGCGTACGACGATGTGATCCTCGCTGCGCAACGAACTGGCCGATAATGCCTGAAACGGAGACGTGGTTGGCGAGTTAGCAGCCGCCGGGGCAGACAGATGGAGGGCGACGATTGGCGGACGGCTACCGGCCAATAGGAGCCGACCACGCTCGACCAACCAGACGGCGCGCCGTGGCAGCCACGGACATGCCGCGGCGCACATAACCTCACGTCACCGATTACACTTCGTTTATCTATTGTCGATATGGTAGGTGATACGCGCAACGGGTACACGATGGCGGGATACTATTGGTCGATAGCCCTGATCGACGTTGTTGCAGCGATATTCGAATAGATATATCAGTTGATTTAATTTAATTAATTCAATGCATTCGTAACCGAATATACATTTTTTCTGGTGTTTTTGAATTGGTTATGCAAGATGGGAGAAATTATTTTCGTCGAAGAAGTAGAATAAATTAGGGTTTTTTTTTATAGGTATATATACAGGATGGACTACAAAATGTGATCAGCTTAGGTTATTCTATTATTAGCTGTTCGATTGTACATTTCTTTGACTAATGACAATCCTTTTTTCCAGAGTTTTTTTTTTGAAGAAACAAAATTATTTGTTATGATGCTTGCCGAATTCGTTTTAGTATCTACTGAAAGAGGGGTGGATGAATTTACTTCTGGATCTGGTTAATTATTTGTTAAATTTTTTAATTTAATTTTTTTTTCAATCCAAAATCAAATCTCATTCAGCTCTGATGAAATACATTCGGAAATGGGTGCAGAAAGATCGTAAGAGTAATACAATCATTGTTAAATTATGTACAAAATTAAATAAAGAAAATAGAAACCACGTGTCTGGTTTTACTTTACAATGCCATTTATTTTAAAATACTACACCTGCTCGTATTTCTCGTGTCTCAGTTTCAACGTTTATGTATAACAGATAAACAAATGCGTTTTTCATCTTTTTTTTCATTAATGCAACAGTTTATCACAGGCGTCCTTTCACGGACACTTGTGTAATCACCACGCACACTAATCGCTAGATAACAGCATTAATTACCATACTAATTCTATACGAGCAACTAAGTATTAAAATTTCACAAGGGTAATCGTACCAATGAATGAATACTTAAGAGATTTTGTAACTACTACACTCGAATTTTAAATAATGATACTAATAAGTATTGGGCACATGAAAAATACATTTTTCATAACGTGCAGATTTCAATATGAAAAATCGGAAAAATGTAAATAATTAAATTAAAAAGAAAAAATACAGGTTTCATCAGTGAATGAACATTAACCACTAAATAAACAATTCTGATCAATTGGCGCGAAAATTGTTTGAACATGGAACAAGGAATTGAATAAAATCAATATTTAATTATTTCTTTATTTTCATAATAGAATATACTGGGTTTTAGATATAATGTTAATTCATTGGTACGTGTTTATTTATTGGAGCATGGACCGTAAAAACCCTGTCATCTTTTTTTATCAAAAAAGTGAAATACCGCTGAGTTCACGTCATGCAACAAACAAAATCACCTTCTCTGAACAAACACGAAGATAATTATGTACACTTTTCGTTCAAACAAGGTAGCAACCGAACCCACATTCCTAGTTTATCTATTCCCTTAAAAAAAAAAAAAAGAAACCGGTGCAACGAGAATCTAGTCGACCGATGATGAAATCGCTTATCAGTCTCTACCACGTTCAAACGAGCTCCATCCGCGGCGACGTGTCTGTTGTCAAATCGTATAATTGTGTGTACGAATGTGTCTCCCATGGCAACGGCTTCCAACAACCGCGCGTTCCGGTCGAACCTGAATGAAAATCCACAAGTGAAGCCAGTGAAGCTGTCGCGCAGCCAGAGGAGTCCTCCCCTCTGGAGAGAGGTAGCCGAGCAAAGGGACACAAAAAAAAAGAAAAAAAATAGAAAAAAAAGCAGTGCAAAGAAGAGGAAAAATGTTGCACTCAAAGGCGACCGCCGCACTGATGAGGCTCAAGGAGATGGACAGGAAGTACAATATTAAACGTAACGAGGACAAACGGGGCCGAGGCTACGTCAGCAGCGAGACGTCCCTCGAAGGTACGCCCAGGGATCGTTGGGACGACCCCAGAAGTTCCAGTGACGATAAACCTGAAGTTGTTCCAACTTTCGATGACGCTGAAAGTGATGGCAGGTCTAAGGTAGTTACGAGACAGAGGTGTTTATGGTTGATAAGCTTCTGTCCTAAGTGTTTTTTAATGTCACCGATTTCGTGACCTTTTACTAAGGAGCAACCAATTAGATGTAACTTCATCGTATTTCTTGAAATCTCTGGGCAGTATATGAAAGTATACAGTAAATCATCGATGAGTGCTCGAGGTAATTGGGAGTGTCCAGACGTCATCATCACCACTGGGCGCTGGACTGACTCCATAGGGGACTCCCCAGTGGTGGGGATAACGTTTGACATTTACGAGGAGCCTTCGAACAATCATCGAGTATTTATTGTATATTGGAGCACCAAAATCTTTTAAGTGCTTAAAAATGAAAAGAGAGGAATTCTTCCAGGTGTCTACTAAATCCAAGATCCACATAACGGTCCCAAGCCTCTGCACAAAAGATGATAATCCTTCGATTTCCAAGAGTAGCTCCAAGAAGAAGTCCACACAAGAATCTCCTAAAAATAGTCTCAAGTCCCTAGAGGAGGACACAGATGTCTCTGTACACGAAGGGAGTGTCTCAATCAGCAAGGAGTCCTCCAGAGTGTCTTCCTTGAACAGGACCACTACCAAATTCAAGACCAGGAATGAAATGAACACAGCAGGATCTGTGATACGTAAGATCACCGCTAAATCTTCAGAAGACACAATTCTCTCCGAAGCTTCAGCAGCTTCTGAAATCATTTCTGAGATGATCAAGTCAGCAGAAGAATCTTTGACCGTGAAGAGTGATGGAAAAGTAAATGTGCTGAAGGAGAGGATCAGTGTCCACGAGCCAGAGGCTGATGGGGATGAGGGGACGATAGACGAAGTGATCAGGATAAGTGCGGAGGGGAGCGAAATCGTCTCTGAAATAGTGAACAGAAGTAGAGGTGTCCCCAATGCTTCCTCCAGAGAGGAGCAAAGGGTCCAGTACGAAAGTGACACCTTCGAGGAGGCATCCATATCCACAGCTTCCTCCAGTTTCACAGAGCAACGGTCGAAGAAGACGTTCCAAGAGGAGATACGTGAGGACACTGTCAGGTCTGGGGTGAAGCAGATTATGATCACTCCTCACAAACAAATCAGGTGTAGTCAGAAAATCACAGTTGACGAAAGGTATGTATTTTGATATTTTTGGTTGACAAAAAAATACTAACAATGGGTCAAAAGTGACCTTGGACTGACTTGGACTTGGGATATACCATTCGATAGCTTGTCAAGAGAAAATAATGCCTAGTTTCAACCCTTTATCTCGACCAGAAGGGTAGTAATAGGGAAAATTCAGATTCTCAGTTTTCCTCTATTTTTTATGTTTAGTGACTTGGAAAAATTCTGTAAAAAATCTGAGTTAGTATTCACCGGGGCACGTGTTTGTGAAGAATCAGAAACGTTAAAAAATCCAGAAAAAAAATTTGTTCTCATTGAAATTTTAAAGACACCACATTTATCTTTTCACAGTAGCGATATATTATCATGAATAATGTTCTAAATTTTTGGCAGAGTGCATCGTAGTTGGAAAAATCGAAAACCGATTTTTCATGAAAAAGTAATCTATAAGTAGTAAGTTGGAAATTGAAAAAAATATATAATAAATGTATTTAAAAAAAAAATGGACTCTAAGGGTATTTTTGACCACCTTACACTGTTGTACCCTTAAATAATTTTCTTCGATCAAGCATCCCAGACGATTCGTCGAGGGACAAGAAGATCGTAGAGCTGGTTCCACCGAAGATAGTGCAGAGCACAAGCGAGTGCGATATCGGCTTGGACGAGGAGCTATCGAATTACGTGAAGACGACTGAGAACGTCGATGAACTGGCGCCGATCAGCCTGTTAAAGTTATCAAAGCAAACAACGCCAGTGAAGAAACAGAGGCGGAACAAGAGGCACCGGAAGTCCAACGAAAATACTGAGGGTTCCCAAGAGAGGACAGAATCCTCTGAGACGTCTGATCACGAGCGATTAACGAGGAACAAGGAAAACAAAAATGAGGACCATCGACCCAGTGAAAATATCTTTACTACGTGAGACAAGCATCTTAAGGGGTTACATACTTTTAACTTCTTTTGTTACTGAAAAAATGAAAAAATGCTCGAATCAAAAATTCGTTTCATTAAGTACTAGATTTTAGTTTTAAAAATATTACCACAAAGTTTGATCCAAATTGTAGAACAAGCCAGACGATAATCGAAAGGAGTCTGTATATTGAATTTTTAATAGACAATACTTCTGTACATATAGAAACAATTTTTTAATTTTCCCTCTTATTTAACAGCTCAAAGGTATGTAATCCCTTAGGAATAAATGGTTAACCTTCAACGTTTCTCCAAGTAGTTACCTATTTAATAATTTTAGGAGAACCGTGGACCAGAGGAAAGAAGCTGAAGGCCTGAAAGAAAGTGATGAAAATCCATTAGAAGAGATAGAAAATGGGATCGAGGACACAGAGGCACAAAACCAGGCAGAAAACGAAGAAGCAGAGAGCATACCCAGCGAGAAGCTGCTGAGGGAGACTCCTAAAACGTCAGACGTCACCTGGAGACTGAGGAAATTGAACAGGGACGCGATAGACGCTATTGCTGGGCGATATAGGATCCGCAGGCCAAAGGAGACTCAGAACAAATCGAAATCCAAACAGTGCAGGAAATGCGGGACTGTAGTGAAGCTTCCGTCCGCTGAGTATGAAGCATCTGACAGGGATGATAGTAGAACTGGGTCCTACGAAAATGTTAGTACTTTTGCAAATGATACTCCTAAATTAACTGCATCTAATTCTGCCAGACTTAATTGTTCTTTTATTTGTCACGACACAAAAAAATGTTTTGGGAGAAAGTTAGTGTATTATAGGGGAAAAATTAGGCTATGAGATTGAAGCTCATCTCAAAGTCATATTTTCTGAGATTTCTCTAATGGTAACGTTTTCTTAAATCGAACGCCCTATTTCTTTGTTTGCCATTACAGAGGGAAAGTCAAAACATATCCAAGAATGTATCACAGTATGACCTTGAAAGGTCCTTGAAAAATCGCTTTTCCAATTACTCGAAATTATAAATAGATCCTTATTTCGCAAAAATTTCGGATCGAGGTTGCGATTTTTAAGATTTAAACCCCTTTGGTCCCGTAATTTTAATATTATTCCTAGATTAACCGATGATTATTTGTATGTCTCTGAGTATATTACCACTTATTCCAGCTTGGGGACACCAATCAGGATCATAGGAAGAAGAGGAACAAGCCGAAGAGGTCCTCCAAATCGTCGAAAGCGAGGAAGTCGTCGAATCGTTCGAAAATCGAGGAGAAGCAATCGCGATTCGACTGTAGACAGGCTCACAGGATCAGGAAGCAAGCTGCGGCGCTCAGACTGCAACAGGAAAGGGAGGACATCAGAAATTATTTATTGGAGATGGAACATACCCGATTGGAATACGGGATCGGTGACTTGGCTACCAACTCCAAGCTTGCTCCTTTCAAACCACTCGAGTTCCCGAAGATTGCGGCCTTCGTTAAATTAGGTAGGGTGGATGCACCAGTAAATGAACACTGCACATAGAAACAAATAAACGAAGTTATTAAAATAAGTAAATGATTAAATATCGATTCTTTTCAAGTCATTGTTTCATATTTAAAAAATTTTCGCGCTATCAGTTAGAAGAAATGTTCATTTATTTAATATTGTGAAATCTGTATTTTTTAATTCAATTAATAACAATTTCTCCAATTTTTTAAAATTGAAATCCACACGTTATAAAAATGTATGTATATACTAAAAAATCTATTTTTTATTGATATTATTATCATTTAAAAACTCGACGGTAATAGTTACAAAACCTTTTTAATCTACACCTGCTTATACCTTGTTTTTGTCTGTCCTATGGACCATGGTTGAATGCTTTTTTTAGTTGATTTTGTTCTTTATTTAGACTCGACGAATGTGAATTTGAAACCGAACGACGAGGTTGCCACGATTCAGGAGAGGATTGTGTCAATAAGGCAGTGGCTGAAGGACCAGTACGTTCTTTATAGGGATTACAGCAGTCTGGCGCAAACGATGAATGTTAAATACATTCCTGCCAGTCTTGAGGACGCTAAAAGGGTATGGTCTCTAACTTCTGCTAAAATAACAATAACTCATAGACTGTTCCATCACTTACGGAATGAAAACTAACTTTCCTCTATTTCAAAATCAATAAGAACTACTAACTCGTTACCTATTTGTTGTATATAGAAAAACAGTTTAATAACGAATTATATAGCATTTTACAATTGGTTTAATTTAATTTTTGTTGAGATACCGATTTGAGCTGAGTTTTTTCGAGGTCAATGCATCATTTTTTAATACCATCATGCTATAGGTCGCTGAATTTGTCCTTCTACGGACAATAACGTGGTATTAAAAAAAAGATGCATTGACCTTGAAAAAACTGAAGGTCACCTCGATATCTAAACGAAAGTAAGATACGAAAAAATCAAATTGTATCCATCCAACCCGTCCCTTAAAATGCTTCATAATTCATTAAAAGGTTTTCTAATACAATCAATAGATGACTAAATATTTTAGATAGTAGTTCTTATTGACTTACTCTGCATGTTCTACCATGATAAAAATAGAACCTTGTTAATCGCATTAATCTTTACATTGCAATCAGTTTACCATAAGTTTAATGGTTTACATAACAACCTTTTTTGGTCATATAATTGCATACAATGGGCCAGCCAGAAATAGACGAAAGGGAGTAGCACAGGCCGTAGAAAGTACAAAGAAGTACCTGGCAACTTGGAAGACAATGAAAACCACGGATATGGGCTAGCAGGGGGGGGGGGGGGGGCATAACGAGATAATCCTGTACGGTTTCAGACGATCCGGCAGCTACAGAAAGCGACGATTAAAGCCAGGTGACCGAACACCACCTCGACACGCCATGCACTGAAACGCGCAAGGGGAACCGGGCACGTGCAACGCGACTCCTTCGCGTAACGAAGTGAACCGGTGTCACCTGGAAAGTGATGTGTACTTCCACAACGTGATTCTAACTCGATTGTGTTCGTATTCGTTGTTTTCATATTTTGTATCGTATCGAGTCCTCGAAGTAGCTCAGACTACACTGAACAATTTTCTCATATGTCACGTGTCTGTATAGTTGAAAAGTAAAAAGTGAATTAAATAGTAAAAGTGAATTAAACAGTAAAAGTGATTAAACAACCTTTTATATACAAAGTCCTTCACCGATGACGAGTCTACTTGGAACCATAGTATTTATAGCCATCTATAGTCCATCTATAATAATCTGTAGTCATTTATAATCATCTACAATCATCCATAGTCATCTACAATCATCCATAATCGTCCATCATTGTCATTATACAATCATCCATAATCGTCATCTATCTAGAGTTACCTAGAGTAATTTGTAATGATCTACAACCATTTATAGTCCTCTACAGATATCTATAGCCATCTAACGCCATCTATAATCATCCATAGTCATCCACAGTTATCCATCATCGTCCATGGTCGTACATAATCATCCATAGTCCTCCATAGTCCTCCACAGTCTTCCATAGTCCTCCATAGTCATCTGTAGTCATCTACAATCACCCATAATCTTCCATAGTCATCTGTCTACAATTATCAACAATCATTTATAATCATCTACAGCTACCTGTAGTCATCTATAGTCACGTATAGTCATCTATCGTCCTATCCCCAGTCACATATAGTCATCTCCAGTTACCTATAGTCCATCCACAACACTTCTGGGATCGTGCAGCGTGGGTTTCCCTGCCAAAAGCCAAAGTTGAGAGTGATTCATATTAATAGGGGATAAACTGCCCGATTGCTCTTTACGCGAATCGATATTTAATATTATCTCCCTGAAACAGGGGAGCGGGGAAAGACTGGAGCCTCCCGGTGCAGAGTGTACACGCGTGCGTGGTGCACGCGCACGTGCAGGAGATGCTCGAATGAGCGACGCCGATCCCCGGCGTTCTTTCATTGACGTGCCGTTGCCCGCCGCGTTTCCCCAGTTTCGAGCGAACCTCTGCACGGCCCCCGTGTCTGAGAGAACCCGTCCGCTGCTCGTCGGAGCATTCTCTATTTTTCTCTGTTTATATACCTCGAGCTGTTGCGTTCGTATCCCGTGTGTATACCGGGAATCTGATAAGTGCCTTCAGACGACAGCTCCGCGAAGAGACTTTTTCATTTAAGGGAATTGGAACGTTCGCGGTCAGACGACGCCGGTGAGTCCAACAAACTGTATTCACGCTCGCTACACACACGTTTGTGCGCCTCTTCGTGGCTACAACGAAGTTAAATACACCAGGTGTACCCGCGTGTAGTCACTTTCGGCAGATTTTTTATTTGGAGGAAATTACACTGTTCAATGATTTTTAACGTTTTTCCTACATTGTAATCGTTCAGACGCGTTTCTGCTTGTTTTCGGTCGTTTTCACTTTGATTAATATTTAAACATATTTAGCTGTCTACAACATAATAACAGTTCACATCATTTTGTTCGAGAAAGCGCGGAGAATTATTTTGTATTAAGAGAAACTGAATAACTATTACTAGAAAAGCAAGACACACCTCCAAAGTTGGAGATTGCAATTTTTTTTTAAATTAGTTTTTTCGAAAACTGGACGTGCTGGGAAGAAACGGTTTGCAGATTCGTATTCTCGCAGAAATGCTTCTGAACGGTTATAAGGTATTTTATGTGTTGAACGGTGTTGTGGGACCAGGTGTGATAATTGAAGAATAGTGAAAATATTTGATAAAAGTAATGTACTAAAAGTTATTGGAAATGATCTGTAAAATCTACTGATTCCGTTACTTTTATTTTATCGTAACAGAATAATTAGTTACTGTTCCATCAATCATGAGCTCTGGTCCCATACTTCTGGCCCAGAGTTTATTTCGCTGTCGATGTAACAGCAAATGTAGAATGTAAAATGTACTTTGTGGTCAGAAGACACTGACTTTTATGAGGACTCGAGTTATTTGACGTGAATTTTCAATTGTCTGAATTTTTATCTTATGTAGAACCACAAGTCTAGTCTTGAAAATGTGTCCCATCATTTTCCTATAGATTTATGCCATTTCTGAGGCAGTTGGTGAATCTCCTCTCGAAAAAATAATGACAATTTTGAGTTAATAATTATTTGTGAGGGCCACGAATTAATTTGTACACCTAATACTGTACATATAGATCTCTACCAAAATTCTACCAATTTTTCCAAATACAAAGAAATTATTATGCATCTTGAGAAACTGATCATACAATATTATTCAGAAAGCTTGAGAAATACGGTTTAGCAAAGACCAAAACTTTTGTCTTTATAAAATTAAATTTCTGTCCAACGTATTTTAGAAGGGATCCAAATTTTTGTATCAATCTAATTATTAGCTGATACATTCTGAACCGCATGTTAATACTCCTATGTCGACTGATTTGCTTAAAAATACAATTATGTAAATGAGAAATGGGACGTGGAAACACGGGAGATTGCACTAGGCTCTAGCTGCGTCTCCACGAAGAGTAACGTCTCCAGTTTTATCCTGAGTCCAGTTAGCTTCAGGTGGAAGTGGCCTGTCAGCTTCTCGGTTAGCCCCGAAAACAAAATTATGCAAAAGTATACAGTTATATCTGACTGAAATATTTCGAAATTTTTTCTTTCATACATACAATTGTCCTTTTCAAACTAAGTGATCACATTTGTGTACACGAAGTTTCTTACAATTTCACAGGAAGCCTCGAGTACAGTATGTTGCAAATCCACATTTTCCTTATAAACCTCGATTTTTTTACGTTCTAAATATTTCCAGTAGGTCCAGAGTGAATCCAGAATTGTTTAACAAAACCTTCTATAAAGAAACCAAAAATTTCTTTTTAAACAAAATATCATCTAAACAGTCTACTGACTTAAAACGTGCTATATATTTTTTACTCTCAAAATAAAATTCAGTGAAAGAGTTAAGTACTCACAGCCCAGAATTTTATACGATGTTCGAACAATAGCCAATTATTTTCCATGTTTAATCATGTCGATATTCGTATAGATGACATCAGAACAGGCTAGAATAGTCGGCTGGCAAGCATCGGCCGCGATTAAATATACATGCACCTTGTTGCACCTGGAAAGCAAAACTGCGTATACTGTGTCAAGGTTCATCGGATCAATCGGAATTGTGCAACCTTAGATCCTACCGTGCAGGTCGATTAATCGTCCGACAGAGCTTAAATTAAAAGTTTAAACGTATTAAATCAGTCCTCTGGCCTGTTCCCTTCTTTCGCAGGAAAGAACCAAATACACATCCTTTCCAGATAAGAAAGTAACCCAACGCCTGCAGTTCAAAGCGCCAGTCAGACTAATTAGAGGATCGTGTGTCGGGGTTCGCGCGATGAAAATGAGAGTAGGGAATTCGATACGGAATGCTTAGCAGTACATATACAACTACACGAAAATATCAACCTGGGAACGAAAACTGTAGGATCACTGGCCCAATGTAAGTCGTTGCACCCTCCAGTTCCCATTTCATTCACCCAACGATAAAGAATTCAATTGTAGAAACATCCGCTTTTAGAGAAGCTGTAATTAATTGTTAGATTATTATAACAAGCATCTTGAAAATTAATTAACTCTTTAATTCACAGACCTTTAAATTTTTAAGATTGAACCCTCTTTTTTGGTTCACCCTGTGTATGTTGTATCTTGTTATTTTGTAGGCGAAAATATTGATATTAAAGCAATCTACTTTTTTAACTATTTAACATTTATTTTTACCCATTTAATGCCCAGACCCTTAAATCTTTATTTCAAAATAACTCCAATTTCATGCAAATATTTTAAGAAGGTCCTTTATAACATTACAAAGGGAATTATTATATCTAACTGTGATAAAAGTAACAAAGTTGTCAAACGGTACAGAATGAAAGATGGCATTAAACAGTTTCAAAATGTTAAAATGTTCTTGCGAATCATTTATATGTCATATAGTATACACAAAATATTTTTCCGGTAATTTTCAAATAATCTGAGAACGAAAGGGTTAACATATTCACTAGGGACTCACTGATCACCAAATGACCTTGAATCATTCTACAAACGTACACAACAAAACCAAGCGCGATCAGGATTCCCACGAAAATTTCTCTGGTCGATAGACGTCTATTCGAATCCAAGGAAAAAAAGAGCGCGAGAACGGTGGCGGTGTCTCCTTAGAAATTCGAACGGCGAAAGTAATCGAGAACGCACACACACACGTTATATTAGTAGCCATAGAGAGGGACCTTATCCTTGGTGGGGCAATCGAGGCTGCGGAGACGTGTCTATGACGTAGGGTGTCGATTCCGTCAGCTCCGAGGTCGACGGTGGTAAAAAAAAGAAAAAAAAAAACAGTTCGAGGTTCTCTAATATCCGTTTCCTTTCGACCCCAACACGCGAAAGACAACCTCCACACTCATGTGAAATGGCACAGGAATCCCAGGGACCCACATGGCCACACACACGACCCTAATGACGATGTGGACGCGGACAAAGCGAGAAACTTCCTCCTTCATCGAGGAATTTACAACGACGGTAATTAATAAAGGGAACGTGGATTGTGGGACTTGGTGGCTAGGTCTCGTGGTTCACAAATTAATGAGACTTTGTCTAGGGGCTCTCTTTGTCTCACTCTCGTCGTGGTGTATGTACAGGGTGTACCAAAAAGATGAGTAAGTTACTGAAAAATGTGTTTGATACAGACGCTTTAGGGAGCGAACTCTTTTAGCTGTAAGTGACGAGTATACTCGTCGTGAAGAAATGGCAACTTTTTAGGTAACGACGAGTAAACTCGTCATGCGAGAAGAGTAACTATCATTTGTTATAGCGCCAGAAATGGAAAGAACGGAAAATTTTACGTTCAGATATGTGGTCAGATCCTTGGATCGAAATGACCTCCAGAGACAATTTGAATGTCAAATCTGTGCTAAAAATAGGGGTTTCCAATTTAAAAAATTGAATTGACCCGAGAATGATCTCTACATTGACATCAGATGCTCCTTTTTAAATTCTGAACTTTTAAGTCATACATTTTTTCTAGAAACTTCATCTTTCCGAGTTGATCTGGGATACCCATCTTTTTGGTACACCCTGTATACCACGGTACATTGCCGTTGCACTGCTCGGGTTTAAGGGACGTTGAACCTGAAACGATTTGAAAGGAGATTAGGAGTATAGTGTCTGGCTAATCGTTGAGATCATCACTTATATGACTTTCTTTGTAATTATACGAAGGTTCGTAGAGTGAACTTCGGTTGGTCTTCTGACTTCTTTCTGGGATTCAGTTCATGTAGTTTTTATACAAACTAGATTTTCCAACCGTATGATAGGAATGGTTTTTGTTTCACTGTACAACGACACACACATTCCTCAGTTGCTGTTAGATCTCTTGGTGTTACAGATGGTACCCTCCTCTTTCTAGCCATCATGATCAACCGAGTGTGACCTCTGACCTGGAACAGTGCGCACACATTCTGACCAGTACAAGCTAGCACATTGTTGCTGGCTGAATTTCTCGAAGAAAGCCTGACATTTTCAATCTCTTGCCTTCTAACATCGATTTAAACTCGTGGTGACGTCAAACTGGACTATTACTATTTTTAAATACTATTATTTAATGTTTATTCATAGATAGGATGATCCAAGATCAGTTGGGTCAAATGATGATGAGTAATCATTGATAACTGTTCACAAAGATGATCTTGTTTTCAATATTCTGACAATCTGATTGTCACTAAAGAGGAAAAGAACCTTTGCAAATGATCCACCTGTTTATTTCCGTCTCTGGACGTCCACCTGAACGCCCAATTGGCCCCAATAACTCAATGACCCTAGGATAATCGCACCAAAGACACCTTTCTGTTGAAGGTCACGGTTAATTCAGGAATTTAATTCATAAGACTCGATTATAAAGCGTCACCTTTGGCAATCCCGATCAATAAGCCTGGGTATCATGACATTAATCATCTCCCTGCTGTTCACTGACCCGACTTGCCATTAAGAACTTCCGATCGATCGCCTGTGAACTTCACGTCCACGACCCTCTATGGGCTATATTTACCCTAGGTGATTGCTATCTGTGGCTGGAGCTAGGCTCTGGATCATCAGGAGCAGTGAATGAAGTGACTTAAGTAGTAGGAGCATTGAGATTTCTTGTCCAAAGTGGAATGGCTGCTTCTGTGATCTTGTCCAGTAATATT